GACCTATGGCAGAAGCTGCAGGGGATCACTTCTACACCTGGAGGTTGCTCACTGTCAGCACCTGTGGCTTTGCTCGAGGGCATGTTCCTTCTGGCACTGGGATCACTTTGCCCTGGGTACAGGGCAGGCCAGAATTACTGGAGGGTTAATGCCCTAGAGATAGTCCTCCACCAATGACAGACAGGCAGTTGGTGGATAAATACCCCAGCTCCCTCACCCTTGAGTGTGAGGTCTACAGTGTCTCCTGGAGTTCCCCAGACGGACTGAATTGCCCACAGTGGCTAGCATTGCTATTGCCCTCATCGTATTGGTTGATGATGCTGCATTTACTGACTGCCTTCTCTTCCCTGGCATACTTCCGTCTACTGTTTCCTACCATCACCTCTCAAATAAAACCGTTTGCACTTGGTTCCTTGTCTTTGGGTCTGCTTCTGGGCAGACCATAACCTGTAACAAGTCCCCAGCTCAGAGTTATTGTGAGGATTACATGCTTATCGGGTGCTTAGCATAGTGCCTAGCAGGTAGTACGTGCTCATTAAATGTTCACCCTTGTTATAACCACTGGGGCTCTCTTGTTTTGAATGTAGCCTCTGTAAACAGTCTCCCATGGATGCCTCTTAAGGAAGGACTTGGGTGCTCACAGAAGAGCCATTTCCTGCCTCGCTCTAATGAGGCATCTGTATTGGTGAGTGCTGAGGCTGGTTCCCTGATGAAGGGGGCTTGTCTTTGAGGCCGCGTGACAGTGCTTAGCTGAGCCTCATTTTGCCTCTGCGTTTCGAGTGATGTGTTCATGTGGAGAGCAGGAGACCATGTACTTACCACTGACCACCCCAACGCATTGGTCATATTTTTAAAGTTTAAATGAGGGTTGACTGGAATGATGTTTTCCAGATATGTGCACTGGTTATTTCTGGGTTGTGGGATTCTCGAGGCCTTTTTTTCATTTATGCCCTTCTTTGTGCTCTTCAGTATGGCTTAAATTTTTTATAATGAGCATGCATCAGTCTCACAAAAATAATGAAGTCATTATTTTTTCAAAAGTAAATAGCTTGCAGCTGATCAGAAGAGAGGGCACTTAGAGCTCAGAACAGACTCAAATCTAGAATCTACTGTGGGAATACATAGGTATGGATCTCTGTGGTTCTCTTGGGGGCTTAATATATGGTGGATTTTTGTGACCATTTCATGCTCATTTAAAAATCAAGTAATTCTCTGCTGGGCAGACGGCTGTGGGGACCATGGTCTCAGGGAACATCTAGCTCAATTGGCATAACACAGTTTTTAAAGACAATGTTCTATGTTCTACCTTGGTGAGGAGCATCTGGGGCCTTAAAAGCCTGTGAGCAGCCACCTAAGATACTCCACTGGTCTCACCCCTTCGGGAGCAAGGGAGACTGAAGAGAACAAGATACAAGGAAAAGATTTGTCCAAAAGACTAATGGACCACAGCTACCACGGCCTCCACCAGACTGAGTTCAGTACAGCTAGATGGTGCCTGGCTGCCACCACTGACTGCTCTGACCGGGATCACAATAGAGGGTCCTGGGCAGAGCTGGAAAAGGATGTAGAACAAAATTCTAACACACAAAAAAAGACCAGATTTACTGGCCTGAGAGACTGGAGAAACCCTGAGAGTATGGCCCCCGGACACCTTTTTAGCTCAGTGGTGAAGTCACTACTGGAGTTCACCATTCAGCCAGGGATTGGACAGCCTCACAAAACAAAACAGGGCTAATGAGGCACAGCAGTCCACGGACAAGGACTAGAAGGCAAGAGGGGACAAGAAAGCTGGTGATAGGGAACCCAAGGTTGAGAACGGACAGTGTTAACATGTCATGGGTTTGTTAACCATTGTCATAGGGCAATATGTGTACTAACTGTTTAATGAGAAACTATTTGTTCTGCAAACTTTCATCTAAAGTACAAAAAGAAAAAAAGAATTATCTATGTGAGATCAAATTGACAACAGCATCTCAAAAGGTTTGATGGGAAGCCTAGGGGGCAGTGAGTTGAAGATAATGGTAATGGAATAATTTGGAAAAGGACAGTGAGAATAGCAGCACAACTTGAAGAATATAATCAATGTCACTAAATTGTACATGTAGAAACTTTTGAAATGGTGTGAATTTGGCTATGTATATTTTCACCAAAAAGAAAGTCCTCCAAGGTTGAGAAGGGAGAGTGTTGACATGTCGTGGGGTTGTTAACCAATGTCATAAAACGATATGTGTACTGACAAAAAAAAAAAAAAAATTAAAGCATTTCTCTGGGTATGGACTAAAACCACAGTCTTGAAGAATCAAAGAAGCAATTCATCTTCTGGGAGGGGCTGGCTTCACTGCTGGACGTTTTGTGTTGTTCACAGATGTGGTTGTTCGGCTAAGACAGTGTCTCTGGCTCACGGCATCCGGCAGGGAGGCTTCAGCTGATGGTTACTAGGAGGAAGGCTGGTTATGCTTCCCAAGGAGCCTCAGCGGACTGAGTGCATTGTGTCATTAAAGTCACAGAGTTCAGCAAGTGCCCATTATCACTATCATCGCCACCAACAGTAGATTTACCTTTCACTGAACATCCACCCTGCATGCAGCTTGCCATGCATTTCTTCCAGTCCTATAGGATTGAAAATGATTCACAAGTATATGTTTCTCGTCTTTTTCCCTTCCCGTAGCTCGTGAAAAGTATGATATCTTTGCTTAAACAGCTTGTTTACAGCCTGTTTCCTTTGTCCTACTGGTCCCCTGAAAAGTTTGTCTCATTCTTGATTTGGAATTGGTGAATGGGCAGAGAGCAGTAAGACCAGGGAGATGAAGTGAGGAGAGAAAGACCTTCTTAAGTAGGTAGGTGGGTGGGTGAAAGAGAGAGAGAGAGAAAGAGACAGAGAAAGAAAAAGAAGAAGGAGGAGGAAGAGGAAGGAGAAAAGGAAGAGGAAAAGAGAAGCTTGTACATTGATTTACATAAGAAAAATTTAGGATGATGAGGGGAAATTTTTAAAAGCCCTTTTGTGTGTGTTAACTGTGTGTGATGATGGTGGTGATGGGGATGATCCATGACTAAAAGGCTCCAAAATAGTTCGGGGTGTGGAAAAAAATGGAGAGGAAAGAAATGGGATACCACTTTTATTGCTGTGGGTTGTAAATCTGATCTCCTTTATAGTTTTTCAAAAAGAGACAAGTTTAGGATCAGAGTTTCTCTTTTGTTGGATTTGGCTATTTGGACTGTGTTTTTCAGTTTAACTCCATACATAGTGGATCACATGGGTCCCAGATTTATGAGTTACACACTGAAATAAGCTACAAGGTATTTTTGCGCACAGATTTATAGAAGAGGAAACTAAGGCTCATTAGGTGAAGGACTTAGGAAGAACTAGGTCTGTCTGACTCCATATCCTACTTTCCATTCCACCACACTGCTTCACTCAGCCCAGTTAACTATTCAGTTCAATATGGTCTTGTTATTGTTGTTAGTTGCCTTTGAATTGGCTCCAACTCATGGCTACCTTGTGTATAACAGAACAAAGTGTTCCCTGGTCCTGTACCATCTTCACGATTACTGGTACGCTCGAGTCCGTTGTTGGGTGCCTTCCAACCTAGGGGGCTCATCTTCCAGCACTGTATCAGACAATATTCTGTTGTGATTCATAGGGTTTTCATTGGGTAATTTTCAGAAGTAGATCACCAGTCTGTTCCTCCTAGTCTGTCTTAGTCTGGAAGCTCTGCTGAAACATGTCCACCCCGGGTGACACTACTTGTATTTGAAATACCAGTGGCATAGCTTCCAGGATCATAGCATTGATATGAACTACTTTCTCCAAATACTTCTTTTTAGGCATTGGGTCCAAAGACCACTTCATAACTCTTAACTCAGAAACTAAGTGGTCATGGAGACCCACGTATCCTGTGAGCTTGTATTTGAGCCTTGGGGGCCAGTGAGGGATCCTCAACCCCCCTTCCTCCTTCCCTCATTCAGACTTCGGCTCACAGATTGTGACATGTCACCCCAGCTAGCTGCTCGTGCAGTGACACTAAAATTAGGCTTTCCCCAAGGAGCGGAGTACTTAATGAAGACGTGCATCCAGTTAGAAGGAGAGGCTCCCAGGCAGGCGGGGGCAGCGCCAGGCGGGAGGAAGCATTTGGCTGGGACCTCCGCCTTCTGGCCTTCTGAGGGCTTCTGTTTCCATGATGTCAGAGAGGCGGAACTAACTCTGCCCCACATCCAGGCAGCACCCCTGCCCCAACCTCTCTCTAGATTTGGAAGCGCGGGGCACAAGAGCAGAGGTGAGAATGCTCCCCCTTCTTTGCAGGTGAATTCAGAGGGCTGCGCTGCATTTCCTGGGGGCCCTTCTGGGTTTAATTGCCACCCAGCCATGTTCTGTTATGTGTCTTAGCAGAACCTCGCTGTCTGGGGTGACCTCTTAGGAGCAGGATTAGCGGAAAAAGAGTCTTCAACTAAAAGAAAGTCCCTTTGTGGACCCATGAATGTTTGCACTCTTTGAATACTTGGAGAATAAAAGTTTGGCAGAAGATGTGATCTGAAAGAGAAATCTCTCAATTCCTTTTTTAAGTCATTGGAAACAGTGTGGAAAAGTACTCCTCTCGGGAGTGGTTGTGCTCGGGAAGCCCAGCTGCTGCAAACACACCGCATGGCTCTGGGCAAGTCTTCCTTCCTGCCGGTGCCCGTTTGCTGGTGGGGAGAGAGTGGGCTGAGGAGGGACAGATTACACAATAAGTAAGGTACACAGGTGTCACTTGTACTTACTAATCTGTAATACACAATTTCACAGGTGAAATTGTGCACTACACATTAGTAAATAAACACAATTAAGCCGTTTTTACCTTGCTTACTGAAAGCCGGTGTGCACTGATTTCTGATTAATTCGCCCCGGGGCCAAGTTTCGATTTTCCAGGGCTTTCCCCCCAGCGTCTCTGATTCTTTAATCATCTTGTGTCATCCACCCTTGCATTTCAGTAACATGTTCATGTCTCCTTGTCTCTCCTGACCAGAAAAAGATTTACAAATACAAGAAAGTCTTGAGCAACCCGAGCCGTTGGGAAGTCGTCTTGAAAGAGATCCGCACTCTGGTGGACATGGCGCTGACATCCCCTCTGCAGGATGACTCCATCAACCAGGCCCCACTGGAAATAGTCTCCAAACTGCTCTCAGAGGTAACACACACCCCCCACCCTTTTAAGCTGTTCTCCTTTACTGCCTCTGAGCAGTAGCCCTGTACCAAGCCACATACACAAGCAGAATTCGATTCAAGTTTGTGTTGTCTCCAAGTTCCCCAAGGAGGTGACTGGTCTCCCTCCCAGCCACCCAGGGTGTAAAAATGGCTTGGGGGAGGTGTCTAACCTCCTCCCACCCCACAAGGGGGAAGGAGAACCAAGATCACCAGCCCAAGGCTGATTCCTGTGAGGCAGAGGTCAGACACACCTCCTCTCTTGGCCATCTCTGCTAGTCCTGACACCAACCGTCCCTCCCACAGCACTCTGTACTGGGTTCGATAATTCATTCAATGGCCACACAGAACTCACAGACCATACTCACAATTATGGGGTTTTATAGGGAAGTAACAGTTACAGTTAAGGCTCAAGAACACTCAGGATACAGTTCTTGCATCACGACAGTCTCTTCCCAACTGTGCTCACAGGCGCGCCTCTCCCTGGCCCTCAGTCTTTGCCCAAAGACACTCACCTTCCTCTTTGCATGGGCCAGGAAGCCCACCTTGCCATTTCCTGCTGTCGAGTCTCTCCTTCCTTGATGGTGGTGGGCTGTTTCTTCCCTTTGCTCTGGAATTGGCTGTCTTTTAAGGCAAAACTGACCAGTCCCCTTGGTAAGCCACAATTACCCTGTCACACAGTCACCTGGGTGGAAGTTACAAGATCATGGCTAGAAAGGCCACGCACAAGAGTAATTAATCCACTGCACAAGGAGTCTGAGAAGGAGACCGAGTAGTTGCCATCAAGTCACCTCTGACTCATGGCAACCTTGTATGTGTCAGAGTAGAACTGTGCTCCACAGGGTTTTCAATGGCTGATTTTTCAGAAGTAGGTCACCAGGCCTTTCTTCTGAGGCACCTCTGGGTGAATTCGAACATCCAACCTTACAGTTAGCAGCCGAGCTTGTTCACTGTTTGCACCACGCAGGGATGGCATATATATATATGTATACATAGAGAGAGAGAGGAGAGGGAGAATGGTGATGGGGGGAGAAGAGAGTGAGAGGGAGAGAGACTGATGTATTGGATTTTTAAAAACATTTTATTGTGGTAAAATATATATATATATGTGTGTATATATATATATATAACAAAAAGTTTGACAACCATTTTTAAGTGTACAATTCAGTTAACATTAATTACATTCACAATGTTGTGCAACCATCACCACTATCCATTGAGAGTGATTTATTTTTAGGAGTTGGCGTACGTGACAATGGGGCTGGCAAGTCTGAAATCCGTAGGCCCGGCAGGCAGACAGGAAACTTGGGCAGGAGTTGATGCGACAGTCTCCAGGAAGAATTTCTTCTTCTCCTGGAAACTTCCATTTTTGCTCTTAAGGCCTCAGCTGGTTGGATGAGGCCCACCCATATTACTGAGGGTGATTGCCTTTATCTAAAGTCAACTGACTAGATGTTAACCACATCTATAAAACACCTTCCCAGCAATACCGAGACGAGCGTTTGATTAAATAACTGAATGCTATAGCCAAGCCATGTTGACACGTAAGATTAACCATCAATCTAGTTCATTCCTAGGAGGGAACATGTTGGCGAAGCCCCGGGACTACCCTATCCTCTCTGTTCCCGTGGCGATTGGTTCCTGGGGGGCAGTCCAGACTTGTTGGGGCTCCCTCAACAATGGCCCCACATCTGCTCCTGGGCTCCAGCTAGGCATGGCTCTCTGCCCAGTTGCCCCACATCACCCACAGTCAGAAACCTGGCAGGAGAACGTGGCTGGCATGACATGACCACTGCTATGCTGGCTCTACTGCCTGGCTTGCCAGTTGCCCCCACTTTGAGTGAGTACTGTATGCCAGGCACCATCCTGGGCATTTGAACCAAACAAAACCCCGCCCTCATGGGCTTACATTCTAGCAAGGGAGACCAGTAGTAAACAAGGAGGCTTATCCCTCGAGTCAGCTAGTCAGTTACACTCTCCTTAGCAGGCGAGATGTGCTTTGGAAACACCTCTCCCTGCTTACTCTGTTCCTGGCACTATTCTCAGCGCTTTACAAATATTAATATTTAGCTCGTTTATTTGCCTGTCTGGTCCCCTGGGGGACACTGGAGGTGATGACTCCTGATATGAACTTTATCCACGGTCGCTGGAGTAATCGCTCTGCCCTCTTCCCTGAGACTTGCCCCATGTTCCTGGTACCCCTAGTGTCCTGTAGAGCTTCTACACTCCTGTCTGAGTCCCACTACACACTCCCTGCTACCTAAAACACTCTTCTCTCTCTGCAGGCCCAGGCTGGCTGCTGCCCACAGACCAGGGAAGTGGCCAGGCCTTCCAGGTCTGCTGAAGGGAAGGTCCCTTAGCCCTGGGAGGAGGTGGAGCAGTAGGTAGAAAGTGGGCCACAGGGATGGTCGTGGGCATTGGGGCAGAGGGTTGTGTACTTAGGTGAGAGGTCAGCCCATTCAACAGAAGAGTAAAAATTCAGGCATTGAAAGGAATCAAAGCTTGGAATTCTAAGGTCAATAGGGTCACATGCCCAGCCTCAAGTTCAGGCTTCCCACCCTGGGCAGGAGAAGGGGCAAGGTAGGTAGACCATGGGGCTTACTTCTCATCTGGACAAGGGGAGAGCAGCTCACCTTTTTAATAAGCACCTACTTGTGTCAAGCAGGTGCCAGGTACCACGCACACAGCATTTCACCTAATACTCATTCTCCCTGAGAGATGGGCCGTGCTGTGTCCATTTCACAGAGGAGAAAGGTGAGGCCCACAGACACCAAGTGACCTGCCCAACTCACATAGCATCTTCATTGCAACGCCACGTTGCCCATCCTGTCAGCTCCACCACCAGGCTCAGCCACTGTCACACCATTGCCAGATTAGGCACGTCGCCAGGACAGTGGTGAACAGGCAGACGGCACACTGTCACCAACCTGTGGCGGGATTCCTTCCCATATCAACTATGTCCCTTGTGACTACATGCCCATGGCCTTGGCCTCCAAGTCAGCTGACCCTCAAGCACTAGGGTGGAGGGAAAAAGGCATTTAAGGAAAAAAAGAAGCTTACATTTACTGTGCACCTAGTGTGTGACAGGCCAGGGGTCAATATCATTTGTCCTATTGCTCTGATGAGAGCTGACAGCTACTAAGGGACAGAGCTGGGCACAGCCCAGGCTGACTGACTCAGCATTCCCTTGGCTAAGGCTCAGTCCTTCTCTGAGTGACACTGACATTGTTTCAAGCACAATGTGACCATTACTTTGTCAGGCATTTGGAGAGACCTTCTAAATTTCCCCCAAGTATTAAAACCAGGACTTCGGTCTGGTTTGGAACAGTTCAGTAAGTGACGACGTAAATGAGGGCAGTGTACCCATTGCACAGCAACCAGATGTGTTGCCCATGGGATTTTGACCCGAGTAAGAAACAAACGGTGGTGGCCCACTCAAAGATGGTGGCCACCTGCGCCACTTTGAATATGTGTCGCTGTCCACAGTTCTGTCAATAATCCAGTCTCCTGCATGGAGCCTGATGCAGGAGACTGGATTATTGGCAGGACTGTGGAGAGTGACACATACTCAAAGCATCAGAGGTCAGCTGCCATCTTTAAACCGGGCACCACTGTTTGTTTCCTATTCTGGTCAAAATCCAGTGGACAGCAGGTTTGGTTGCTATGCAATAGGTATGCTGCCCTCATTTATATCAGCAAATACAGAACTGCTCTGAACCAGTTCAAAGCCCTGATTAAAACTTAGAGGATGGATAAACAAAATGTGGTGTATCATACAGCGGAATATTATTCAATCATAAAGAGAAGTTAAGTCCTGATACATGCTACAACCTGGATGAACCTTGAAAACATGCTGACTGAAATAAGTCAGTCACAAAAGGACAAATATTGTATGATCTCACTCACACTAAATAGCTAGGTTAGGCAAATAGATAGAGATAAAAAGTAGAGTAGTGGTTACTGGGGACGGGGGGTGGTTACAGAGCTATTACTTAATAGGTACAGGGTTTCTGTTCAGGGTGATGAGAAAGTTTTGGAAATAAATAGTGGTGATGGGTGCAAAACAAAAAAAATCACAGAGGAGTAAATTGAGGTCTGAGAGGTTAAGTCTCTTAGTCAAGGTCACTCAGACAAGTAGTGGGCCAGGACCCTCCCAGGTCTGTGCCATTGCTAAGCCCATGCTCATCAAGGTGACATCAGTTCGAGTTGGTAGAGACTGTTTAGCAACTGGGGAGACAAAACGACATCTGACAGTGGTTAAGAGTATGTATTGCGGTCCTGCCCTCAGTCACTAAGTGGCCTTGCACGAGTCACTAAATGGTCCCAGTTTTCCATCTGTAAATCAGGGTGAATAGTAGCACCCATTTCACAGGATTGAGGATTGGAGGATATTAATACATGTGAAATGCTTGGCACCCTGCCTGATGTACAGTGAACATTTCATCAGTGGTCAGAATGTTTCCTGCTATGGGAGATAGTTGTGACCTGGCCCCTTCAAAATCTTCGGCCACACATTTAGAAGGGAGGCTGTTAGAGGAAAAACAAACAAATCCTCCTACCTTCTTGCCCTTTTTTAGGTTTAGAGTATATGGCGCTAGATTCCTTCTCTGTTCTCTTTACTCAAATTGTTTCCAAGACTCCTCGGGAGAGGCGCCAGGCATCACCAAACCAGCCGGGGGTGGAAGATTCTGGAGGGAGGGAGCATCATGGAGGGGGCTGTCAAGGTGGCAAAACAGTTCTGAGAAGGAACTGTCCCTTCACAGGTGGAGCAGAGCCTGCATCCCCGGCCTCCGGGCCTTTGTTGAGCTGGGTGTGTAGAGTGGCCACTTAGCTTGGATTCAAGTGTTTCCTCTAAAGCACTGGCTGGTAGCGAGCACTCTCCACCCCAGGTTGAAAATGGCCTTGGTGGAGAGAGAGAAGGTTCCCTGCAGAACAACACGGGCTGCAGCAGGTAACCAGGACAAAGGAAATGACAAAGGAAATGGCGTCCATGGTCGCGAAAGGCTCTTCCTCAAAAGGCACAGGGGTGGGAGTGAGGGTTGGGCTTGTCCTCTTGGCATTGCCTGAAATATGGAGCTGCCCCTTGGATGGGCCAGGCGCTATGCTCAATGGTTAGAAATGTGGGCTTAGGAATCAAGATGAGTTGATGTCAAGTCAAGTCTCAACTCCTGGCGACCCCACATGTCAGAGTGGAACTGTGCTCCATAGGGTTTTCAATGGCTGATATTTTGGAAGTAGATCACCAGGCCTTTCTTCTGAGACTCCTCTGAGTGCACTCGAACCCCCCACCTTTCAGATAGCAGACAAGTGTGTTAATCCTTTATACCACTGAGGGACTCCAGGAATCGGGACAGGCGGGTTTGAGCCCTCACCTCACCACCTGTTAGCTGTGCTCCTGGACAAGTGACTGTACCTCTCTGAGTCTCAGGTAGCTTGTCAGTCAAGAGGGAGAGTGAGAGCACCTCTTGCAACAGAGGTAAACAGATGAGACGAGTACAGCGCAGCTTACACTGTGCTGAGGCGTGGTGCACTCCTGATCAGTCAAAGGACAGACCAAGCCCAGCTTCCATCTACCTGGGCTGAAAATGATGGATATTTAATAATATACCGTGAATAGGTAGCTCAGACTCCACTAACGTTCACCAAGGGGAAACGGTGGTAGAAGCCAAAAAACATCCTTCCCTGTGTTCTTGGAGCGCGTGCCTCAAGGGCATGTCTAAGCCAGTCAGGAGTCAGGGTACCTCCACGGGAACCTGTGGCCACAGGGTGCCCCTGACAGGACTTGTGAAGTTCAAACACTGATCTTGGTCAGCGGCCTCCATCCATCCTTCAGACTGCTTATTGGGCAAAAGCAAAATCTCGCTAACTCATCTGCCCCTTAGCTGGTGTAAACATGTTAGATGCTCCTACAGTCCTAAGCCTGTTTAGATGGTAGGAGCCGTGGGGTTCTTTCTGGAACACCAGGAACAATTCATGTTGCCAGCTCACTGTTCAAGTGAGGAGGCGCTTTAGGAGCTGCCAGTCTGGCTCTGCCGGGAAACAGGAACTTATACCCAGGAAAGCCCGTACCCACCCAAACACACAGACAAACAGCAACAGAACACATACCATGGAATATTATCCAGCCACAGAAAGGAGGGAAGCACTGATATGTGCTGTGACCTGGATGTACCTCCGAAACATGGTGCTAAGTGAGAGAAGTCCGACAAAAAAGGCCACATACGGTATGATTCCGTTTATATGACACTTCCAGAATAGGAAAATCCACAGAGACAGAAAGTAGACTGATGGTTGCCAGGGGCTGGGGGATGGAGAGTGGCCGCTCGTTGGGGGGTTTTACTTGGAGTGATGGAAATATTGTGGAACTAAATAGAGGTGGTGGTTGCACCATTACAAATGTACTAAATGCCACTGAGTTGTTCATTTTAAAATGGTTAATTTTATGTTATGTGAATTTCACCTCAGTAAATTATTTAAAAAAAAAAGAGAACAGAATACAACACTGAACTAGCAAAAAAAAAAAAAAATACTGGCTACTTTTTAGTTTTCCCATGATTCCTTGTTTATCACGTACTCCTTGTTCATATACTAACTAACAAGATGGTGGTAACAGGCACCAGATAGTTAAGAAAATTTCAGTGTCGGGGGAAGGGGGACGACTAAAAATTCAGCACGTTTAACCCAATTGCTAGAATTTGAATTTAGCCAAAAAATCTTGGGCCAATTCATGGAACGTCAGTGTTTCCTGGGAATCTCGTTTGAGAACCACTAAAATAACATATGTGCTGCCCCTAAAAGAGTGCATAGCACAGTTGAGACTCAGAAAAGGTCTGTTTCCTCACGTTTATTACGAACCTGCCTCCTTGTTTCCAGGCAGGATCACTATAACAAGGGCCAAGCATGGTTCCAGGTCCTGTCCATATACCTTTTCATAGCAGCCTGGAGAGGTGTAGCTATCATGATCACAATTTACAGAAGGAGAAACTGAATCTCCGAAGACAATAGATTTGCCCAAGAGAACATGACTAGGAAGCAGTGAAACAGGGACTCAGAACTACATTCTGCCTGTTTTGAAGCTGTACTCTTCCCCCTTACTAGCCCTGCCTTTGCAGGTGTTCGGATCAGTTTAATTAAGAAAAAGTGACAACTAGACTATCCGAGAGGCAGTGGTGGTTCAGTGTTAGCATTCTCACCTACCATGCAGGAGACCTGGGTTCAGTTTCCAACCAGTGTACCTCATGCCCAGCCACCACTGTCAGTGAAGGCTTGCATATTGCTATGGTGCTGAACAGGTTTCAGCAGAGCTTCCAGACTAAGACAGACTAGGAAGAAAGGCCTGCTGATCTGGTTCCAAAAATCAGCAGTTGAAAACCCATGGATCACAACGATCTGATCCCATTGTGCATGGGATCACCATGAATCGGCGTGAAAAACAACAACAAAGACTCTGTCGGAGAGGCTGAAAGCATTTTGAAACTGTGTGACCCTTGAGCTACAAATGCTCCATTTTCTTAATACTGCCTTTTGTTTGTTTCCCTCCTGCTTTCCCTGTGCGATCCTTTAGAACACGAATTTGACTACCCAAGAGCACGAAAACATCATTGTGGTAAGTTTCTCGCAGTCTCTCTCCCTCTGCCCCCTCCGGGAGCCCACCCTCCTTTCCTGCTTCAGTTAATTCTGGAAGCTCCAGCGTAAACCATCAGCATGGAGACCTTGCTTGGATCTTGTCTTTTCCATCACACCAGACATGTCTCCTTCCTGCCTTTGCCCATTTCAGAGCCCCATTGATTGGGGGAGGGAGGGTAATTATCAGTCTTTGAGGTTTATAGCAAATGTGTCTTAACCACTTCTTCCTTCCTGAGTCTGCCTCAGGGAGCTGAAGGCAGGAGATGGCAGAGACCATGTAATTTATTCAGAAGTGTAACCATTTTAGCTGAAGGTAAACGTTCTCTTTCTTGCCCCAGGACATGTCTCTTAATTAATCCACAAATAGAACCTGGATTTAATTCCCTCTCATGTGTAAAGTGAGACAATATTTTCCAGGACTTGATTATGATGTGAGCATCTTTGGGGTAAAATATCTTCCTGGGTGATTTTAGGCAATGACTGTGACTCTCACTGGGGAGAAGAAAGAAATGGAGCTCTGTGTTGTATTTTTGAATCCCAAGATGACTAAGGCAGTTCCTGCCCCCAAGGAGCTTATCGTCTACTATAGGAAGACCAGTGTGATCACAGCAAAAATAGAGGCATGTAGCCCAGAGAGGGTAGTGATGAATTCACTGGGAGAGGAGCCAGAAGGCTTCCCAGAAGCGGTGATGTCAGAGCTGAATTTTGAAGGATCAGTAGGAGTTTGCTACGTGACAAAATGTGGTAAAGGCATTCCAGACAGAGGAAGCACAATATACAAAGGCACAAGAAAGTGGGTAGGCGGGAGACAGACTGGAAATGGAAGTGAAAGGCAGGGTGTGCAGAGCCTTGTGTGCCCAGACAAGGACCTGGAACTAACATCCACCTGCCCAGGAGGCCCCTCAGCCGCAGCCCATGAAACAAGGTCAGCACCCACCACCCTGCCCCTAAGTTGCCTCTGAGCTGAATCAGGGCACTGGGCCCTGGAAACCCAGCCTGGAGAATCACCCCCTTCCCCTACTGGGTCCTGTGAGCACAAAGGTTGGTGAGCCATGGGCGGAAGCTGCTGAGGAGCCCCAGCCACTGTGCCTGGCACATAGTAGGTTCTCAGTGGGTGTTCACTAAAAATATAAAGGTGCTTTTTTCTCCTTTGCATGCCAGAGCAGGACAAGAAGCCAGCCACCCTCCACCACCTTTTTCTGCTGTAATAGTAATTAGCAAATTCACATAACAAGCATTTGTTGAATACCTAGTATGAGTATGTGCCAGGTGCTTGTCTCTGTTGCAGGCCTATAGAGCCAGACAAGATATGGGCCCTGCCATTGAGGAGTTTACTGTGTGTTGGAACAACCTGGCAGATCAGCAATCAAACAATAACATGGTCTTGTTGAGGGTGTTGCGGGGCTCAGAAGGGAAGCACTTAACCTTCGCTGTCAGGGAGGAAGATGACCGGGGGGGGGGGGGGCACTTCCAGGAGGAGGTGACAGAACTGTCTGAAAAGATGGATAGGATTGAGCCATGTAAACACATCATGCAGGGCAAGGCAGTCCAGGCAGGGAGATGGGCCAGCAGAGGCCCAGGAGGGAATATGATTGCCAGGGAAGGAGTGGGCATCTTCGTTTTCCCCCTGGCATCACCTGTGGACCCCACTGTGTGCTCAGGCCCTGGGAGGAGGGTGAGATCTTTGGATTTAGGACAAGCCTGGGTAAGAAATTTTGATCTGAGAACTCCAGGCTGCATTTCCCCTGCTAATTTGGCCATGCTGACCCCTTAATTGGGACAGGCTGAGCGTCCCATCCCCCATTCTCCCCACCCCACCCCCCACTTCAGCAGCAGTGCCTGGGAACAGGGAGGAATTTGATCTCGCCCTCACCCCTCCGTCTCTCAGCCTCTCTCTCGGTGTTCTGTTGTCGTTGCTGTTCTTATTATTACGAAATCCTCTGTAGCCACCATTCATTCCAACAATTACATGGTTTTATTTGACCTGTTGGCAACTAGTCTTCGCCCAGTGGTGCTTCGGGTTTTTCGCATACTTCCTTGTAACTCTGGTTTGTCTTATTCACTGGGGCAGCCGGGCGGCCATGCAATAGGTGATTGCTGGTTGGCGACAGCTGGCAGGTAACTGACATGCCTGGACCTGAAGTCCTCACTCCTCCTGCTCACTGTACGGGTAGATCAGCTTTATGGCTCAGCCTCAGACCAAGTTCAGATTCTGGTCCCATCTTATACAGGCTGTGGCTTGGACAGTAATAAAGAGACTTTTCATTTTATTTAATTTTATTTGAAATATTTTTAATTTTGCAAGTATTACATGAGATTATTTTCATTTTAAAAATGATTTCACCCCCACGCCAGAGCCCTCTTCAGAGGCATCTGCTGTTTTCAGGTGGTGACAAACCTGCAGACATAGACAGATACAGTTGTGTTTTTATTTATGTATTTTGCATTAATGATGCGATGCTGAGTGTGTTGTTCTACATTTCTTTTCTCATTTAACAATGCCTGTTTTAGATTTTCCAGGTCTTTTTGTGTGTATCTTCTCCCAGGTTTCTCATCTTTGAGACTGTTAGCATTTGGGGTCAGATAATTGTTTGTTGTGAGGGCTGTCTGGTGCATTGTAGGATGTGAAACGGCATTCCTGACCTCCACCCACTAGGTGCCGGTAGTATCCCCGCCACCAAACTGTGACAAAAATGTCTCTACACTTTGCTAAATGTCCCCTGTGGGGCAGAATCACTCCTGGTTGAGAATCACTGGTCCATCCTATTCTTTCTAATGGCTCAAGAATATTTTTATTTAACCTGATGGCCATCTAGGTTATTTCCAGTTAACCTAATGCTCTAAGCCTCAGTCTCCTCATCTGTAAAATGGGAATAACAACAGTGCTTTTCTCATGGGGCTGCTGTGAAGTTAAATGAGCTACTCTACAGGACCAGGCTCATAGAAAGATCCCACAAAAATATTTCCTTTTATTATTAATTATCTGGGGCAGGCCTTATCACCTCCCTGACTCTCTGTCTCTTCACCTGTACAAATGGAAATAACTAATGTCTGACCTCACATAGTTGACATGAGGATCATATGAGATAATAGCTGTGAAAGTACCGAGCCCATGCTTGACACTTGCTGTGGGCACTTAATTTGTGTCCATTCCTTTATTTTTTGACTCCTTCCATGGAAGAGGGGCCTGGGTGGACAGGGGATTAAAGAGGCTCAACCCAGGGGACCGCACCCTGTGCAGGATCCCACCGAGCTGGTCCCTGAGCTCGATCTGGTTAGTGGAGCTGGCCACCTGAGCAGTGGTTCGCAGGCAGGGAGCGAGCTGCAGCCTGGCCTCTTCTGTGTTTACCGTGCTGACCATGTCAGGTTGCCTGGCAGCTGAGAAGAGGGTGGCCGGCACAGTGGGAGAGCTCGGCATTGAGCTGCTATACTGGAAAGGGAAGCAGAAGATCCCCACACCCATGCTTCCAGGAATGAGCGTGCCAAGCCAGAACCTGGGGCCTGGCTCACTTCTGGTTGTTTTGTTGCCCTGTTTCCACTTAAATGTAATTGTTGCCCCTGGACTAGGCGATTGTTTCCTGGTCATGTAGAGAGACAGTGCCATGAAATAGCATGACCAATAACTCAGGCTTTGAGTCACACAGAAGTGGGTTCAAATCCTGGCCCCACCACTTTCTAATAAGTTCACCTTAGGCAACGTACTTCATCTCTCTGACCCTCGGTTTGCCCATCTGAGAAAAAGGGGCAGTACTAATGCCCGTGTCCCAGCATGTTGTGAAGATTAAGTAAAATACTACCATTACTACAGAGCATGGCTCAGAGTGCTGATTAATGGAGATGCTCTTACAGATGTTGTTAGTGTGACATTATTAGTAACAGTATAATTAGTGGCCTGTGTAGGGGCTTGTAAGGGGACAGCTGGCTCGTTCCTTGCAGTCAGCTAAGAGCCCCACCACACCACCATGGCCACCAGTCTCCTGTTTGCACTGTCCAGGAGAGCTTCCTGCAGTGATGGACATGTATATCTGCACTGTCCAGTATATTAGCTACCAGCCACATGTGGTTGTTGAGCCCCTGAAATGTGCTTAGTGTGACGGAGAGTCTGAGTTCTTCATTTTATTTCATTTAAAAGTATTTCTTTCACTTAGGTTAAAGTTTAGTCACATGTGGCTAGTGACGTCTGTGTTAGATGGTACAGCGCTAGACAAATAAGGCCCCAGCCTCATCTCCAGCCTCTGTCTGTCCACCTGGCTGCCGGCGCCAGCGGGGGGCAGACGCCACAATGTAGATGACTTGTTTTTCACAGAGGTGCGCTCAGCCAAATAATCGGCAGCTAGGTCAACTTTCTGGTCACCTCTTATTTGACGTCTAGCTTCACTTTCTTTCCCTAACGGTCCCCAGAGCAAGCAGAAGGCCTTATCAGAGGCCCCTACCAGGAGCCCTGGCAGTGCAATGGTTAAGCACTCAGCTGCTACCCAAAAGATTGGCAGTTCAAACCTTGCCAGTGGCTCTGCAGGAGAAAGACCTAGCAATCTGCTCCTGTAAAGATTATAGCCAAAAACCCTATGGGGCAGTTCTACTCTGTCACACAGGGTCGCTATGAGTCAAAAATTGACTCTATGGCACCTAACAAAAACCCATATTCAGGGACAGCTCAAAGGAGCCGTCTGATACCAAGAGGCAGGGTCTGAGCTGTGAGATCAGGTGACGGAGGCCTGTGTCCTCGGAGGGGCTTCCCAGGACTCCAGCGCACCCCTCCCTCTGATCAGCACAACACAAGACAACTCGTCTGTGATGGTGTCGAAGACTTATCATGCTCTGGGCCAGTGAGTTTCTCCCATAGCCCCAGCCCCTTGCTGTGACAGTGACAGTGTCACAATGGGTTTGTTCCAAGCCTGAGACTCCAGAGCTTCTAGTGTTCTCTCATCAAATCCTCCCAACAACCCTGTGAATGAGCAGCTCAGGTTTCCCTCATTTTATAGGCTAGAAGACTAATGCCCAGAGAGGTTGAGTCACTCACCCGAGGTCACACAGCATGGCAGTCTCTGTGCCAGGACTGGGTCCTGGGTCTCCTGTTCGCTGGTCATGTGCCCCATGTGACTAACAGGAAAGAAGTGGACTTCACATAGGCATTAACTGTCCAGCAACTAAGCTTTAGTGAGGGCTGGCCTTATCTCAAGCTCTGTGAGAGGCACTTTCCACCAGGGACTCTCAACCAGGGTGATTTTGCCCCCCAGGAGGCTTTTAGTAATGTTTGGAGACATTTTTGCTTGTCCAGTCTTTCGGGGTCAGGGGAAGGTGCTACTGGCCTCAGTGGGTCAAATCCGGAAATGCTGGTAAGCACCCTACAATGCACAGGACCGCCCCCCCCCCGCCCCCCACCACAGTGAAGAATGATTGGGCCCCAAATATCCCCAACACTGAGGCTGGACACCCTGACTTACATATGCTGTGTCATCCCTTTATAGATCGGGAAGCCAAGGGTGAGAGAGACTGATAACATGCTCTAATGGTCACGCTGCTTTGTCAGGGGTTGTTGATCTGGGGGACACAGGTGGGCACGAGTGGGTCACAAAGCCCCTAACATAATATGCATCACTGTAGGTGTATATTGGGGTTGGAGGGGAGTTCAGAGTTTTTATCGGCTTCTCAAAGGGAGCCATGACCCCAAAAAAGTTTAGGGACCTTGGCCTTCAAGTTAAAAAATGGACCTCTTCTGCCTGAAGAGTGACAGTGACGCTGTGCTTTCCAGCATAAGCCAGCCCTCGTATGTAGACGTCTCCCCTCTGAGAGGCTCCGACTGACATTTGATGTATTTCAGGCCATCGCTCCTTTGCTAGAAAACAACCATCCACCACCAGATCTCTGTGAATTCTTCTGCAAGGTACGGCGTTTCTGAAGGGGTCAGGTTTGCCGGGGCAGGGTGGGGAACACAGTCGAAGGCAGGCCGGGCACCCTGTCCTTAGGGCCTGCAGCCCCATCTGCCAAATGGTGAGACGTCAGACCCAGGGTCCCAGCCAGTAGGACTCGAGGAGTGGCTAGCTTTCCTGTGGAATAGCTGCTGGCCATCTTGGGGACAGTTTGCAGCAGATCTGCTGGGTGCTGACGTCAGAGCTGGTTATTATTAGCCAAGGCTTTTGGAGCCGGCCATAGTAGGGGGTAGCTGTGGGGAAGCAGGCAAGGGAGTGCCAGGTGACCAGCGGCCAGCCTCCCATGGGATCCACATGGTACACACTGGGCACAGTACAAGGTACACACCAGGGACAGTACATGGTACATGCCCGGGCACATCAAGGATCGAGCACCCCTCATTCCCGAGGATACATCTGACGGCCTAGGGCCACACCAGCATGTGCACTTATTTTGTTCTGTACTGTGTGATTTTTTTGTAATAACCTGGTGTCTTTGGAAAGACAGATGGCTTCTAGTCTTCCCTCTGCCAGCGCTCCCATGATCCTGCTCCTCGTCTTGGCTCATGTTACTAATCTTGGTCCCTCCCCAGCTCCTGTGGGTACATGAGCAAGGGACCCCTGCCTCCTTCCATAGTTAGAAACTGCCCTCTGGGGAGGTATGGACTGTCTACACCAGTGAGACAGGCATATGGGGTGGCAATGCTGTAACCAAACCTGGTTAAAAAATTGTTTAAGGTAGTTGGAAGGTGGTTGGGGGTGATCTTTCACTCTCTCAGTGCCCCCCCCCCGCCCCACTCCCTCCCCATTCAGGCTGCCCCTGAGGGTTCCTGGTAGCCCAGTTTGAAAAACAGTGAAGTGGAGGAAACCATCCTTTTAGCATTCTCTGATAGAATCCCCCACTGAAGTTAAAATGGAGGGAGGGCGGCCTAGCCACCTTCCAGCTGTTTTTCCCTCTATGGAGGGTCTGAGACTGCAGCCTGTGGGCCATGCCCCCAAGACAGCCTGCCCAGAGGAGAATTTGAGGGGAGCAAGGCCACCACACTGTGCCCACGTTTGGCCAGCTGTCTGGACACACGGGGCAGCCTTTCCCCACTAGGCCCAGAGGCCAGCAGCTCCAAGATCTGAGGAAAGTTTATTTATCTTGGATTTCCCAGGAGAGCCCTTATTTTTATACCCCAGGCCCACTGTCCTCATCCAAAGGTTGGAAACACAATTCCTTAGGGGCCAGACGGGTTATAAGTGTGTACAGGATGATGGGAAGTGGGGGCAGGGCCTCATTTGCTCTGCCTAAAGGCCTTCAATTCCAGTTTTTTAAAAAGCACCAGGCTGGCGAAATAAAATACATCTGAGTGCTGGATTTGGCCTGCAGATCACCATATTATCAAAGCAAACAGTGGAAAAGTCATAGAATTTTCAAGATTCTGGTGTCCAAACCCTAAAAAAAATCAAAACCAGTTGCCATCAAGTCAATTCCGACTCACGGTGACCCCACGTGTGTCAGAGTAGAACTGTACTCCACAGGGTTTTCAATAGCTGATTTTTTGCAAGTAGATTTCCAGCCTTTCCACCTAGGCACCTCTGAGTGGGTTGGAACCTCCAACCTTTTGGTTAGCCGCTGAGCTTGTAAACCATTGGCACTACCCAGGTACTTCATCCAAGCCCTAAACCCCTGGTATTTTCATACCTGCTTTCCAAGAGAGATGCCTCTGTCAGATCGTGACTGGGAGTCTTAATTCTGCAAAAGTCTTGTTATGCTAAATAAGGATCCTGTCAGCACAAACTCCTGTGTGGACCATTGAAAGCAATCCCAAAGTTTAAGATCAAAACAAAAAGCAAGCAAAAAATCCCATCCCTGTCCATTGCTCTTAGGAAAAGGAATGCAACAGTGTGCAGCAAGGGGACCCAGGTGCCCACTGCAGGGTTGCTGCTCCTAAACCCACAGACTGTGGTCAGGATGTTTACAAGCCTGAGCGGCCATGGCCAGGCCCTGCCAGGCCCTGCACTAACCATGTCCTCCTCTTTCTCCAGCACTGCAGAGAGCGGCCCCGGTCCATGGTGGTCATCGAAGTGTTCACCCCTGTGGTCCAGAGAATCCTCAAGCATAACATGGTGAGTTTCCCCGGCACCCACCCCTAGCCTCCAACCAGGGAGGCAGAGCAGGTGGGCCTGAGGCTCCAGGGCTCCCACTCAGGGACTCCCACACTCATGACAGACATCATTAATCAATTTCAGCACTCCTTCTGCAGAGCTCAGAGATGACTCCAGAATCTTTCTCAACGTGACATTACAGGCAGCCAGCTGAACCATGTTGACACAATAATGAACTCTTTTTACTGTTCTCTGCCCTAAATGATCACAAACCATAATTAAATTGTTGCTTGCTTCTGAGATCCTCCTTGATTTGGGATACATAAATTCATTTTATTTTCTGAAAACAGAGAAGGGACACCCCATGAATTTCTTCCCCAGGACTAACAATGGAACTCCCCAGTAGGCAGGATTTCTGCCTTAATTCGTGCCTTAATAGTTTCAGAGGGCCTCTCTGGCTTTGGTCAGCTGGGAAGAGAGCTCTCTGCTTTTGAACTTTAAAACCACTTGTGGGTGTGGTGTCAGTCTGGGGCCAAACTCTTTCAGAGTCCAGAGCGAAGGTTCTGGGGTTTCTCCAGCGAACGACCTTTTCCCCATCACAACATGGTACTGCAGAACCCACACCCCCAAGCCCATTTAGCCAGGCCAGAAACATTTTTGCATATTCCATTGTAGTCAGACTATTTAATAATGATCTTTTGGGGCATCTCACTTCAAAGGGAAAAAAGTCAATTTTCAGACAGCCTCTCACAGCTTACTATACAACCCCCTTATATTTGATTAGTTGTATAGGCCAGGAGTACTGGCCGGGTAAGAATTTTCTGGATAAAAATCAGAGTAGCTACAAGGCAAATCCAGAATTTATAGTATCTGCATGGCCTGGCAGAGACCAGGGACCCTCAGGCATGAATACATGCTTCACTTTTAAAGCACATCCCTAAGCGTTCTGGGCGTCAGTCCGTGGATGCTATAAAGCATCTTGATTCCACCCTACTCCTGGTGTCTGCTAATTACAAGCTGTGAGCTACGTTGGGACAGAGCTGCAGACAGGACCTAGAAGGATTAGCTCCTCCAGCGAGGAGCAGACATGTGTTCAGTGGTGATTACAGCCTGTGCCGGGCACGGGGAGACGTGATCTCATGTAATCCTAACAGTGCAGGCGGTGGGCAGGGCAGACTGTTGGGGTTTGCCCACTGAACACTTCTTCCTCATGCTTAGGAATCAGCTGGGCTGCCAGCTGGTGGGGGTGGGGGAGTTGAGTCACTGGTTAGTGAGTGTGCCTAGCCTGCCACCAGCCATCTGCCTATCAGAATAGTGGGAATTGTGCCTCTTCACCACCCGTACACGGAGCCCTTCAGTAAGGAGACACTTGAAACTTGGGGAAATGGAGCAGTCATCCACTCCATACAATGGTGATCTTGAATTTCAGGCTTTCCTATTTTCCTGCAAACATATCATATGCCCCATTTCACAGATGAGCAAACTGAAGTTTAGAGAGGTTAAGAGTCTCAAAGAGTGTTCCTCTCTGGACCAAAATAAAAGACACAGATAGAAGCAATCCTTTAGTGTGTGCCCTTGGAGATTCAGTCCGAACAAGTCACTGAACTGTACCCCCAAGAATGACCGTGTACCCCTGTGTCTACATGCCACTCATTGAAGTGTTCTTGTTGTGGCAGAGGAGGCAAGGCCCTAGTGGACCACTGGATGATCTGCCCTCTTACTTTCCAAGGGGAATAATTTGACCCTCCTAAGGAGGCAAAACATCCCAGCCCTAATGTTAGCCCTCTTCCAAGGAAATGACCATGATCACCCAGATAAATGGAGAAAATATTGAAGTTGTCCAGGATTTCATTTTACTTGGATTCACAATTAATGCCCATGGAAGCAGCGGTCAAGAAATCAAACATATTGCATTGGGCAAATCTGCTGCAAAAGACTTCTTTAAAGTGTTAAAAAGCAAAGATGTCACCTTGAGGACTAAGGTGTGTCTGACCCAAGTCATGGTATTTTCAGTCACCTCATATTCATGCAAAAGCTGGACAATGAATAAAGAAGACTGAAAAAGAATTCATGCCTTTGACTTATGGTGTTGGCGAAGAATATTGACTATACCATGAACTGCAGAAGAACAAACAAATCTGTCTTGGAACAAGTACAGCCAGAATGCTCCTTAGAAATGCGGATAGCGAGACTTTGTCTCATATACTTTGGACGTGTTATCAGGAGGGACCAGTCTCTGGAGAAGGACATCATGCTTGGTAAAGTAGAGGGTCACCAAAAGAGAGAAAGACCCTCAACAAGGTAGACTGGTGCAGTAGCTGCAACGATGGACTCAAGCATAGCAAAGATTGTGAGGATGGTGCCGGACCAGGCAGTGTTTCATTCTGTTGTACACAGGGTTGCTGTGAGTTGGAACCAACTCTATAGCACCTAACTACACAACATCCTAGAAAGTGAATAGCAAAGATAACAGCATTTGCCTATAGCAAGGCTCAGTTGGAGCACTTTTCATGGTATCATGAAACTCTGGAGGTGGAAGAGGTCCTTAGAGATCTGCTCTTCCAACCCTCATTTCACAGCAGGGAAAATGAGGCCCAGAGAGGGTGTGGCAGCCCAGGGCCACACATCTTTCCTGTCACTGTTTCCAGGGATGAGTGGATTCTTAGCTTCCTCCTCAGTAATTTCAGAGCTGCAATAAGGCGACCTCTCAGACTTCTCTTATTTTCTAGCCTAGTACTGTGTGTGTATGTGAGCATGCGTGTGTGTGCGTGTGAGACTTAGATCCCTCTCATCTTTCTCCACGGGTTCCACTGTGCTCTCTGTAAAGGAATAACCTAGGCAGGATGTAAGCAAACAAGCCCCCCTGACCCCATTGCCCATTGACTCCAGGTGAAGAAGCACTAGGCAGCTCTGGAAAATTGCCCCAGTGAGCTGGCCAGAGGGCGTGGTAGGAACACATTCTGCTCTGAGCTTTCACTAGGCCCAGTGGGATCAGTTTTAGATCCATAAGCAGGGCTTCAAACAGGTTCTTCCCAGTTCATTCATGACTGAGGAAGTGAAACTGAAACAGACCAGAATTTTTATAATTTGGGTGAACCAGAATGATAACCAGAATGGGAAAAATTATGGGTTGAAGCCCTGGTAGAAACCTAATCTCCCTCTTAGAAAACAAGGACAGCATACACATTGCATAGCGACCAAATCTCTTGCCTGTGGATTTTGAGCAGAGTTGGAAACAGCAGTGCCCTGCTTAAAGATGGCAACCAACCATGCCTGCTTTAAATGTGTGTCACTCTCCACAGTCCTGGTAATAATCCAGTCTCCTGCATCAGGCTCCTGATAGGGCTCACTATGTCTCTTCCAAGTCTCCTATTCCAGGGCTTTCACCCATAATTTTTCTTGTTCTAGTTATCATTGTAGTTCATCCAAATTGTAAAACTTCGAGCCTGTTCCAGTTTTGCTTCCTTGGCCATGACTGAACCGGTTCGAACCGGTTCAAAGCCCTGTCTGTAAGGAAGGTCTCCACTATTATTTTTACTTTACAAATTGGAGTCCTGACTCGGGTTGTTTTTTTAAAAAATAGGTTCCATGGTTGGGGGGGGACGTGGTCTGGGGAACAGAAGGGTGAGTTTGGAGACCACCAAGTGTCCCTCAGTTGTCTTGCTGGTCAGCCCTGTCATTTTTCTGGAGATCTGGGTCAAGACCATGCTATGACTCCTCACTCCTGCCTTAATGTCCAAAACACAGAGTGGGTCTAACAGTCTTGTAAACAAAGCTGCTGTGCCTGAAACTCTCAGCTGGATGCAGAAAAAGGTTTCCAGCTTCCCCAAAGTACATGACTGTTTCTGAGCGTGTCTGTGCAGCTCACTGAACACTGCCCTCCCAAAAGAGTTGAGTAGGAGCCCTGCCATTGGCTCAGCTATAACGTGCCAGAAAACACCTCCTGTGCCAGGAACTTTCCAGATTTCCATGGGTAGCCATTACAGGCTTTAAGCAGGGGTGTGACGGGGCCAGTATTTTGAAGTGAAAAATCGTGTGCTTTCTAGAAAGAGGAGATGGTTGGTGCCTCCACGCTGCGTTCCACACCAGTGGCTCGGGCAGAGTGGGGCCCTACCCCACTTGCAGTCTCTTGGCCACCACACGTGGTGCTCCTGGGCCTCCTCTGTAGTGTTCACCCAACTCATGTCCTCTCTCTGCAGGACTTTGGGAAGTGCCCACGACTGAGGCTGTTTACTCAGGAGTACATCCTTGCCTTGAATGAGCTCAATGCGGGGATGGAAGTGGTGAAGAAGTTCATTCAGAGGTGGGCTCCCCTGCTCCCCGCCCCCCTGCCCCCCGTGCCCACCCCTGGCCTACAAGCAGCTTTCCCTTGTGCCTCAGAGCCACTGCCATGTGATGCCTGGGGAGGGGCCACTGACATTGGTCAAAGGCTCAGGCATCTCCTCTCCAGGGGTCTGCACTGGATCCCCCTCAAACACCTGCAGTTTGGGACCACTTGCTTGCTGTGTGGCATTGAACCAGTCACTGTCCCTCTCTGATCCTCAGTTTCTTCAGCTGTCCACGGGAGGCAATTAAATGGAATATGGTAGATGAGGAAGCCCTCAGCACCATGCACGGTGCTTAGTAGGAACTCAAGAACGATTGCAGTCCTAAATAATATTCCTATTTCCCCAGGTCCCTCTGCCCTTGGGCTGTGGGTGCAGGGTATTTAGGAAGAAATTCCCTCTCGTGGTCCCAGGACTCACCATCAGTGACTTGAACAGCCCCCTCCCCAAACTTAGCCAAAAGGGAGCCCAATATTTTTTGTTCTTCTGGTGAGTTTTTGTTTTTATTTTTGCTTTTGCATTTATTTTTAATATTCCCTTTGCCTCAGTTTCCTCATCTGTAAATTAAGAATCATCATCAATGTGAGATTCCACACCCAAATACGTGTAAAATGCTACAAACCGTGCTGTCATTACTATTAGTGCACCTGTTTTTAAATAAAGAACATCAAACTAACCTGCTTACACCAGTTCCAAAGCTATCTGTTTCCTAAATACGTCCACCTTGAACTCACAGAGCACTTCCCAGTCCCAAACAGTGTGACCTTCTGCTGGGGGCCCTAGTGGCTTCCAGGTCTCCCTGAACCACCAGTATGGCGTGAAATGTCTTTTCAGGTAAAGCTTCTCTAAGTGACAGTGGTCACAAGGACTATATTCTAGGAATGTTACAAACATGACCCCACTCCCTTAAACAGCCCTGGCGGCAGGGGTGTTAGCCCCAGTTTATAGACGAGAAAACTGAGGCATGATAAATAATAATCTCCTGGACCCTGTGCTAAGCTAGGGTGACCATAATTTTTCTTCCAAACTGGGACAGTTTTGAGAGAAAAAGGGGGTGTTATGAATAATTATTCCAGAAATACCAGGGATCAGCTAGAATGTCCCAGGACTTAGGGTCAGCATATGCTAAGCTCTACCATAAATGAGGAAATTTGATCCTCATTGTACTCGTGGAGGAGGGGGCTGTTACTATCCCCGTTCTATAGCTAAGGAAACTGAGGATGGAGAGGTTAAGTACCTTGCCAAGGCCACTGGCTGGGTTTGAGCCAGGCACCTGGGTTGAGTCCAAGGTTTGGGGCTTTGCTCCTGCTGCCTGCACATGCAGAGCCAGGACCCATGTCCAGGTGTAGCCAGCCCCACGGCAGAGGCCTGGAGCTGCCTGAGCCATGCTGGCAGGACAGAGCAGCTTGGCTGCTGACTGGGCCCCTGCAGCCTTTTCACCCTCCCCTCTGCTCTTTTCCAGCATGCACGGCCCCACGGGGCACTGCCCCCACCCCCGGGTCCTGCCCAACCTGGTGGCCGTGTGCCTGGCTGCCATCTACTCCTGCTATGAAGAGTTCATCAACAGGTCAGTCGCTGCAGCCAGAGGGACCCCACACAGGGACACCTCAGCTCTCGGGTCTGAGCTGAGCATGCATGTGGTTGAGTGTGTGTCAGTGTGTGTCAGTGTGGCTGAACGTGTGCACATGCCTGTGCAGATGTGAGCGTGTGAATGTGTGCTGTGTGTGTGTTGGGCACAAAGGGTGATGATAATGTATACTCCCCTTTCATATTGTCTTTGAAAACATGGAGTGTTGCCCATGGTTTGCGTGTATGTATTGAGTACCTGCTGTGTGCCAGGCACTGTTTCAGATGCTGGGGAGTAAACAGACCACAAATCCCCTGCCCTCATGGAACTTATACTTCACCAGAGGGAGATAACATTCAAGCACATATGCAGGATTGTCTCAGACAGTGAGAAATGCTGTGTAAAAACCATCAAATGGAGCCAGGCAGTGGATCCCCCGAAAGCAAACCCTGAGACCAAGATTTGGTTGCAGGAGCTTATTAGAGAGGTGATTGCGGGATGCATGGGACGGAGGCAGGAGGGAGGACAGCCAGCAAAGTGTGTTAGTAAGCCAGTGCCCACTGCAGGTGGCAGGTGCGTACTCCCTGTGTGGGACAGGAATCAGAGGGTGATGACCCTGGGGCCGTTAACTACCAACTCCTGCCCGTCGCTGGTTGAGGGCCGCTCCTGGGGTACAGAGGGATGTGAGGTGCTGTTAGCTTTGTGTAACTCTGCAGTGACCTCCAGGGTCATGGAGGGGATCTGGTGTTCAGGGATGACTGTGTATGCCTGTACCATTGTGCAAGTGGTCCACTGCACGGCTCTAAGGGACCTTAGTGTGCCCAGCACCACTAGAGTCGGGCAGTGCATGACCTGTACAACTGTCCAAGGCACTCTGATGGTCACTACCCATAGCCACGCGTGCTCTGGCTCCACACCTATTTCAAAGGCAGGCCACCCCTGCGGCTCCTGGCTGTGGGCAGAGCACCAGAGGCTGCCTTCTTCTTCCCTGGCTTCTCTTCCCCCTGAAGCCTCTGACTCATCTCAGCCTCCCTGGGCCTGTGGACACCTGAGCTGAGACTGGGGCAGAGATGGGGCAGGAGCGGGAAACGGCACCTCGCAAGGTTCCCGTCAGTGTCTCCAAGGGCCCGTAGGCCGCCCTGCAGCAGGGCTTCCCCTACTCAGGGTAGGAAGCAGGCCAAGGAGACTGGAGATCTCTCTCCCAGTCCCCACCCCAGGCCCTGTCCAGGGAGTTCTACCACCGAGAGAAGGTCAGAGGTGGGAAAGAACCAGAATGAGGAAGTGCACGCAGATAGGAGAGCAGGACAGCAGCAGTTAGCCCTGGTTCCTTCTTTTCTGCGGTCAGCACTCATTTATCAAGGGTTTATTATGGGCCAGGCACTGAGGGTACAAAAGTGAACCAACTGGGTCAGCCCTGACGCTCACAGGGCTTGTGCTGTGGCAGAGAGGGGACAGCTAAGGAAGCTGTTATTACAATGCCATGTGACCAGGGCTGTGACAGGATGAGCCAGAGGCGTAGTCATCATAGTTGGGGCGATGAGTCTCACTCTGGCTGCATTAAGGTCCCTGGGTGGTACAAATGGTTTGCACTCAACTACTAACCTAAAAGTTGGTGATTCAAACCCACCCAGAAGTGCTGAGGAAGAAAGGCCTGGCAATCTGCTTCCATTGAGATTACAGCCAAGAAAACCCTATGGAGCAGTTCTGCTCTAACACATGGGTCGCTGTGAGTTGAAATTGGCAACAGGTTTGATTTTTTTTGGTTTGGGATGGTTTTAGAAAATAAGAATGCAGAGCTCAACATACATATGCCCTGCTGTTGTTGTGTGTTGTAGAGTGAATTTTGACTCATAATGACCCTATATGACAGAATAGAACTGCCCCATAGGTGTCCTGGGCTGTAATCTTTATGGGAGCAAATCGCCAGGTCATTTCTCCTGCAGAGCTGCTGATGGGTTTGAACTGCCGACCTTTTGGTGAGCAGCCGAGTGCTTAACCATTGTGCCATCGGGGCTCCTTACATATATGCCCTAGGCCTCAGCAATTCCACGGCGACATATATTTTGGTATATTCACCAAAAGACATGGACAGAAATGTTTATAGCAGCCTTGTTTGTGATAACCAAAAACTAAACCCTTCCTCAACTTAAATGCCCAATAGAAGTAGAATGGATAAAGAAACTGTGACCTGTTCACACCAAGGAATACTATACAGTAGTGAGAATGATTGAACTAGTGCTATGCATAAACTATGAATAAATCTCACAAACATAATAATGTTGAGCAAAAGAAGCCAGATCCAAAAGATACATCCTGTGTGGCTCTATTTACATGAAGTTCAAGAACAGGCAAGACTAATCTGTGATGAGAGAGGCCAGCGTAGTGGCTGCCGCTTGGGTGGAGGAGGGGGTAGTTGGGGGAAGGCATGAGGTTCATGGAATCTTTTGGGTTCTTGGAAATGTATCACGTCTTGATCTAGGACAGTGGTTCTCAACTGCGGTGATTTTGTTCCCCGGGGACCATCTGGCAATATCTAAAGACATTTTTGATTGCCACAATTTAGTGAGGGCGTGCTGCTGGCATCTAGTGGGTCGAGGCCAGGGATGCTGCTGAACATTCTACAATGCACAGGGCAACACCCACCGCAAAGAATTATCTGGCCCACATGTCAGTAGTGCCGAGACTGAGAAACCCTGATGGGTGGTTACTACACAGGGGTTTGTATGAAAAGTCATCGAGCTCTGCACCTAAGATTTTTGCTCTGTACTGTATGTGAGCGATAGCAGGGGTGGCTGAAGCGGCTCACATTGGCTCACAAGAGCCGATTGTGGCATCTCTCCCAACTCCACTGCTAGTGATGTCATCGGTCATGGTGGGATATTTTATACCATGGAAATCAGCACATACTGCAAATCAGGGCATCTTTTTTCTGGACAGTTGGTTGTTAGACATTTACCAGCATACTGCTGGTCATGTTTCAATTAAAAGAGAAAACAGTAAGGATGCCCTGGCCCCGCCCACGGCAGTTCTAACTTACTTGGGATGGACTGGGGCCCTGGCATCAGTATTTTTTGAAATCTCCCCAGGCGAGTCTAATGTGCGGCCAGAGCTGAGAACCCCTGCTCTAGGGGGCAGTGTGGGAATGCTCCTCCAGAAAGGGAGAACCCCCAGCCGTTAGCAAGGCAGGAGGCAGGAGGCAGGAAGGGGGTGATCTAGGCTGAGAAAACAGCACCTGCAAAGGCCAGGCAATTGAGGCGGCCTTGTCAACTGGTCACAATATCGTTCTGTCTATGGCTCTTGAACACCTGCTTCAGAGCCATCCGGGCTATTTCTTTAAAATGCAAGTTCCTGGACACAGCATTTCCAGGTGGGGCCCCAGGAATGTGCATTCTTAACAGACTCTGCAGTGATTCCACGACACAGTAAAGGTTGAGGGCCGCTGCAGGGGAAGAACTGAAGGGACTTGAGTGTGGCTGGGGCGGAGAGGGAAGAGAAGAGACAGACGAAGATGGAGGGGAGATAGGTCCAGGCCCAGAGAGAGGCTGGCAGAGCTGAGCTTCTCAGACCAGAGGCTCACCTGAGGTCATGCTAAAAGGCAGGTTCAGATTCAGGTCTGGGTGGGGCCTGGGGCTCTGCTTTTCCCACAAGCTCCTGGTAATGCCAGTGCTGCAGATACAAAGGCCAGTCTGCGTAGCAGGGCGGTAAACCAGTTGCCGTCCACTGCCTGTATGTCACAGTAGAGCTATGCTCCATAGGGTTTCCAGTGCCTGATTTTCCAGGTGCCTTTGGGTGAACTCGAACCTCCAACCGTTTGGTTAGCAGCCTAGTGTGTAAACCATTTGTAGCGCCCAGGGACTTCTTTGTTTAAAGCTTAGAGTTTTTATTCTAAGGCTGCTGAAGAGTTGCAGATAGGTTTTAAGTACAGGAGGGACATCATGAGATTTTAGATTCCCAGAGTCCCCTTTGGCTTTGGAGGATGTACTAGAGAGGGAGGACGAGTCTGGTGGCTGTTTCAAGAGGTCCCAGGATAGAGGAGGGAGGGGGAAGGGCGGACCGGTGGGCTTCCGGCTCAGAGCCCACATTAACACCCACATTCTCTGGGTTCCCGCTGATGTGTTGAGCGCCTCCAGGAAGTAGCCCCCAGGGCCGCAGTGCTGCCAGGCAGTTTCACGGGCTCAGGTCTATCCGGCGCCGCTGGTCAGTCCCTCCATGATAAAGCCCTGTGATGCCCTGTGGGGGCCGTCTTCAGCGCTCTCGAGGGTACAGTATGTACTCACGTACAAAAGAACAGATAGCTTGACCCAGGTTAGCGTGGCTTTCTGGAAAATCACCCATCTGAGCCAAACAGCCTTGAAAATCCACTCCTGAAACCCAGCAAAGGCAAACAAAGGGAATGGAGTGCTGAGCATTTCAGTAGCAAATCAGATCTGAACCTTTGGAAATACTTAGGCCACCCCTCCCCCACAGACCACCCACAATTCTCCATCAACCATAGACTTCTCAGACTTCAGCCAATGCCCCCCACCCCGCAAACAGAGTTTAAAGTGTGTTTATTAGACACCCGGCCTGGCCATCGAATGTGCTAGATGAATCCAGGCTCTCTCTGCATTGAGTGCTGTTGCCTGCAGCGTCCTTGGAGCTACTGTGCAGAATGCCAGCATGCGACCCAGTCCTTGGGCATGGGACGTGCGGGGCACACGTGGGCCACACTCAGGGAGGGAAGGGAGAGCAGCTGCTTTCGATCAGGCCCTTGTGCTCTGCGTCTCTACAGCAGCGAATCTCAGCCTTGGCGCCCACTGGGGCAACGGTAACATTCGCTGACATCCCTGATTGAATTGTTCTGGGCTTTGGGATGCTTAGAAGTGCCCCAGGGGAGACAAGTGTCAGGCCAGAGATGGAAAGCCCTGGCTTAGGAGCTCAGGGCAGGAAGGAGAGGGCAGCAGTTAGAAGAAATCAGGGAAGACTTCATGGGGCAGGGGGCCTGAACAGGATCTCAGAGGCTCTGAAAAGCCAGTGTGATGAGGAACCTGGGCTTTGTGGTCATAGAGACCTGGTTTCAAGTCCCAGCCCCTCTACTTAGGAGCGTGGTTTCTGCGCTTGTAACACTTGGCGGTAACTGGTCCCTTCCAGAGAGAGCCGGAAGAGCTTGTAATAGCTGCAGCCCAGAGGCACCAACACCTGACCCCATGCTGGTATATAACTGTTGGTTATGGTGTGCTCCTCGGTGGTGGGTCACATGTGAAAGTACTCCATAAGAGGAGGCGCCAGGCCCAAGGCTCTGACACGTTCTGCCAGAGAGAGACCTAATTTAATTGTACGTAGCCCAGCAATTCCCAAACAGATTTGACATTAATTATGCCACAGAGCCCTTTTCTCAGTTAACACCTATTAACACCCTGCACAAGGCAGTCAGTAGACTGGAGGGGTGAGCAAAGAGAGATGGGGATGCCCAGGGTCTGAGGATAGGAGGGACCTGCAGACTAAGGGCCCAGACTGAAATGGTGGGCTTTGGGGACCCATGGAAGTGGCTTTCCAGGCAGGGGGAATCCTGGGCTTTCTCACCTAGCAGGCATACAGAAGGGGGCATAGAGCTGGGGCCGGGGCCTTGCCCTGGAGGAAACTGCAGCATCAGGCTTGGGGGTAACAGCTAGACTACAGGAAGCAGCTAGAAGGGAAGTCACATAGTAGGTCTCATAGGTGTGTCAGGAAGGTGGCCCAGGAAGGCTTCTCAGTGGAGGTGAATGCCAAGGGCCTCCTCGGTGTAGCAGAAGACTAATGTTAGCTCATTCAGTCAACACATATTTACCGAGCACTTACTATGTGCTGGACTACAGCATGGGCTTTAGGGCCAGACAGCCTGGGTTTGAATGCTGTCTACACCTCTTTTTATCCCAAGACTATGAGCAAACCACTCACCTGCGCTGAGTCTTAGTTTCCTCATTTGTCCGACGGGGATAGTACTGGTGCTGCTGCGTACGGTTGTCGTGGGGATTCTGGGAGGCAGTTAGCAGGGTGCCAAGCGCACCGTAAGTGCTCATCAGCTCGTGCCTCACAGCTTTTAGGACTTTCACGATGGCCACGGGCGGGTGTGTGGGTGCCTAACTCATGTGCCCTCTCCGGCCTCTCCCCCCAGCCGAGACAACTCCCCCAGCCTGAAGGAGATCCGGAATGGCTGCCAGCAGCCATGTGACCGGAAGCCCACCTTACCCCTGCGCCTTCTGCACCCCAGCCCGGACCTGGTGTCTCAAGAAGCCACGCTGTCCGAGGCACGCCTCAAGTCGGTGGTCGTGGCCTCCAGCGAAATCCACGTGGAGGTGGAGCGTACAAGCACTGCCACGCCGGCACTGACGGCCAGCACGGGTAACGACAGCGAGCCCAACCTCATCGACTGCCTCATGGTCAGCCCCGCCTGCAGCACCATGAGCATCGAGCTGGGCCCCCAGGCCGACCGTACGCTTGGCTGCTACGTGGAGATCCTCAAGCTGCTGTGAGTGTCCCCAGGCCAGGCACCACCAGCAGGGTGTGGGGGCTTTGCAGCTGGGTGCTTGGCTGGTTGGAGGTACGCAAGGGTGAGTGTGGTGGGGCGCATGGGTGCACACTTGGGTTGGGTTGTGTGCGTGTGAGCACAAGTTGGTGTACGAGTACATGAAGGCACCTGTTTGGGGCGTGTGCGTACGTGGCTCTGGGTGTGTGTATAGCTACGAACATGCTGTATGCATGAGCATCTGTGGCTGTGTGTGTACATTTATGCTTGATGTCTGTGCACATGTATGTGGTACTGTACAAACACGTGTGCGTGAGTTGTGTGTGTCTGCACACATCTGCCATGATGCACAAGAGCCCATGGGTGCCACGTGTGTCCATGAGTGTCAGATATCTGCACGTTGTGTAGGTATGTGAGCTCATTCTGAGTTTGTGGGTGTCAGTGTCTGTATATAAGTGGCTGTGGGTGTGGGGATGACAGCACAAGTGTGTCTCTGTCTGTCTATGCATAGTAGTTGGAAGTGGGCTTGTATGTGGATGGTTGAGTAGATGTCTATGGTGCCTGTATGTTCGTTTTGAGTGTGTGTGTGTGTTTGGGTGCACACTTGGTGGGTATGAGTGTGCACAGGAGGTAGAGTGTATGTTTTTATGTGTATATGCAAGTATGCTTGTGAGCCAGGTTGTGTTTGTTATGTGATCCATGCATGCTTGTCTGCACGTGGTGTGTGAGATTGTGTTTTGTGTGTGTGTCTATGTGTGGTCACATGGCTGCACCTGTGTGCTTGGATGGCAGGTCTAGTATGTGGGTGTGTATGGAAGTTGTGTATCTGTGTGGCTGTGCATGTTTGTGTCCATTGTCTGTGAGCTTGTGTGTGTGCATCGTGTTGTGCATATCTGTGTGTGGAGGGAGGGATCTTCTGGGAAGAGAAGTATCTGTTTGGAGAATGGCCCTTCTGGAATTTCCCAGATTATTGCAACCCTTCTACCTTGTCCTGGGCGAGCTCTGTGCTGGAGAGGGTGGAGTGCGGAGAGAGAGTGAAGTGTGGGATTGGGCTCAGCGCAGGCCTGGCTGGTGGGGAAGCTCTAGATGAGACCAGGGTCTGTTGTGGGAGGTGCCGATTCTGAACTGGGTGGATTGGGCCATCTCTGCCCCTCTTTGGGCCCCAAGTATGTGATTCTAGAATGGGGGGTGTCCTTCATCCTCAAGGACCCCCAAGAGCCTTTCCAGCTCCACCATGCACCCCTCTACCTCCTCAGATCCATCTAAAAGTCCCATGCGCTTGCGCGTGAGGCCTCAGTTTGAGGGCACCCCCAGCCGTTCCCTTTAGCTGTGCTGAGCTTTCTGCAGCTCCATGGGCTGGTCTGGGCCTGAAGAACCTCGGCAGGTGCCCGTCTCACTCCCACAAACCTTTTCCTTCAGATTAGAGCTGCGTCCACTCTCGGGAGGCCCTGAATCCAGACGTTTGAGTGTTCAGATGCAGTCAGTGGTGGTCCCAGGCTTTTCAAAGGGATTGAGGGTATGATGGCATCCTCACACCAACCTAGCGCATGATGCCCACATAGAGTCAGGACACCAGAGGCCCTCGATTTGGGGGGCGGCTGCTTGCAGACCTGGCCCCTGGCTGCTCATCACTGGTGGGGGCTTCACAGAGTTCCCTGTGTTGTTGTCATGCAGCTCCATGGTGTTTGTTCACCTCATCCATGATCACACTGCTGCCCTAGTGACTCATGGCTGGTGGGTGCCTGTGAGCTGGAGAAACAGGTTGAGAGGAACCTAGGGATGCCCTTGTTCTCTGAGCAAGACCTCACAGTGTCTGTGAAGGTGAACGTGCACACACACGTATGCACGCTCACGCACACACTCGGTCACACAGTGGCTTCTAGTGGCTGGAAGGAGAACTGGGAGGCAGCACCTGCACCTTCCTCTGCCAGCTGGCACTCGAGGCCTTCACCTCCCCAGAGAGGAGAGGGCGGTCCCAGGTTCCAGTAGCAGAGGGACAGCAGCGAAGGAAATTCCAGACTCCATCTGCGAGAATGCGTAGCCTTCTGGATTCCTTGCTGCCAGCAGTGGTGGTCACCCAACCCCCCAGGGGCAGGTCAGCCATGGCCCCGAGGTCCTCACAGGGGGCTCCTGGCTCAGGTCAAAGCAGGGACCACCATACTAGCATCGCTCATGTTCTCCCCCTCGCACCCTGGTTCCACTGCTTTCTGGAAACTCTGTGAACTCCCAGACCTTCTGCTGTCTTGGGTCCTGACTCATATTTCTCATTAAGCACTAACGGTTTGAGTTTCATCATGCAGGTGACACACTTTTTTTTTCCTCCTTCATAAACACATTCATGAATGAGGACTCTGTTCTTCTTGGTTTGCTTCCAGACCTCCTGCCTACCCACATGGCCCAGCTGCCAGGGCATGGGCAGCTGCGGCTTCGCATGAGTGGGGATCGGGGACCAGGGTCTGGGGCATCATCAGGCTGGCTCATGGCGGGAGCCCAGGAGGAGCTCCTGATGAGCCGGGGGAGGCAAGGTGGTTGGCAGTTTCCTTGCTCTGAGCAGTAGCTCACACCCCATCCAGAGGTCTCCACAAAGCAGGGTTTATGCTTCCGGAAGCCTCTTGTACCTTGAGGGCGCTCAGGCCACCATTTGGGCCATCGTTGCCTCCCTAATAACTATTTTCCTTCTGTAACCCTGCTGGCTGCTGGCATCACTGGCTCATTAGAGGGCCTCCAACATGTTGGATCCAAACAACCCTAGCAGTCTGAAGGCCCCAAAGTGTGAGACGTGGGTAAAAGCACAGATTTGCAGTCAGACAGTCCTGGGTTCAAGTCCCAGTGGTGCTGCCTCTTAGCTGTGACCTGGCAAGCTACTTGTCCTCTCTGGGCTGCAGCTCTCAGCAGGACAGTAGAGACAGCATAGCTGCTTTGGGGCCTTAGAGTGCCTAGGGGAGTTAAGCGGTTTATAATTACGACCACGTTGCCTCTATTTTGAGACCTCAGGTGGCGCAGTTGAGCGCCTGACTACCAGCCAAAAGGCTGACAGTTCAAACCCACCCAGAGGCACCTCGGAAGACAGGCCTGGTGATCTGCTTCTGAAAGGTCACAGCCTTGAATACCCTATTAAGCAGTCCTACTCTGCACACATGAGGTGGCCAGGAGTCAGCATCGACTCGAAAGCAACTGGTTTTTTTCCTCTCTTTTAAGATGTTAACTGAGATGTGTCATTGAGTTAACAACAGCAGAGGAAGAGAGCCGCTGCCATGGGGTAGGGTGCATTCTGCTATTCTCATCAGCCCACATCTGGCTGCTTGTCAAGAGAGGCCTTGATGGGCTAGAGCCTAGCTGCAGGAAGCACCACACCTAGGGGTCTTTAGGAAAAGTGCAGATGGATTTGTTGTTGTTAGTGGCCATCGAGTCAATTCCAATTCATGGCAACCCCATATGTGCAGAGTACAGTTGCTCCATAGGGTTTTCAAGGCTGTGGTCTTTCAGAAACAGATAACCAGGCCTGTCTTCTGAGGCTCCTCTGCATGTTTGAACTGCAAACCTTTCGACTAGTACTCAAGCACTTGACCATTTGTGCCACCGAGGGACCCGTAGATGGATTTGGGGTTGTCCTAATGCCTGGGAGGCATTATTGGAATATAGAGGGCAGGAGCCAGGATCAGAAACATCCCGTATTGCTCCGGAGAGTCCTGCGCCGGAGAAGAATGGCCCACCCCAAATGCCCCAGCACCGAGAAGAAACATCAGGAGCTTTAAGCAGGGAAGCGGGGGGATGTTTTAGGGTTTAGGGAACTGTCTCAGGAATAGCTGAGATAGCCTGGCCAAGAGATGGAAAGGGACATTGGAAGCAGTGTTATTTGAGTGGCAGGTGGGGAATGGGACAGAGATGGACTGCCCCCTACTCAGCCTTCTCTGTTCTTCATCCAGGTCCTCTGGCTCCGGTCACTTCTGTCCGGTCTCAAATGTCTGTGAGGCTCCTGTGGGCATGGTGATGAAAAAAGGTTGAGAGACACTGACCTCTAAACACAGAGGGGTCAGAGGTCGTGAGTCCCAGAATCAGGCCTGGTACAGGCCCGTCTCTGCCCAGGCTGGTCTGAGTACCCGCAGGCCTCTCTTGGGCAGTGCCGGGTATCGGGGGGTTCCAACTGCAGCACCCCCCAATCCAACTCAGGCCAGTGGATGGAGGATTCAGATCCCCTCGTGGCTCCTGTCCCCGGCTTTGGTGGAGGCCCTCGTGGCTGAGTCCCTGGGGGTACTGGGTCTACAGTTCAGCAGTCCTTTCCCGAGTGCTAACCATCCACCAGGCCTGCGTCCAACACCAGAGTCCAGAGGTAAGATGCAGGACCCCCGCCCCTGCCAGGGCTGGGTACGAGGGCAGCAGGGGCTGTTCTACAGCCTGGACAGGGACTGCCATGGCCACCCCTTACTTCATGTGTGAGGATTAGGGTCTGGGACCTTGGAGGTGCTCAGCTTGGCTGACGGTGGCCAGTGAGTTTCTGAACTTGTGAGAATGGACTGCCTCTGGGTTTGCTTTTCCGCAGAGTCCCCAAAGCCAGAGAGATTGAGGGATCCAGGTCAGCGGGATTTGTTATAAATGTAGCATATAGGTGTGCAGTTTGCTCAGGGAAGTCTCCGGAGTTCGATGGAGAGAGCACATATCATGGCCTTGGAAGCATCTGACATCAAATCTTGACTTTCCCAGTTGGAGACTTGTGGCAAATTGAAGTACATCTCTGAGCCTCAGTTTGCCCGCCTGTAAAATGTGGATTCCTGTAACTCCTATCTCGTAGGGTGCAGCATCCAGGGCTGGGGGGAGAGTATGGCTCTGTGGTCACACTTGACAGGTTACAGAGCCACCTTTGTCTGGAAAACGGACTCAGGTAGGGTCGCTGTGAAGATTCCATGAGTGGGCACTGCATCTGATCTACAGAGTGGTACTCGTGGAGTGGTAACTGTCACTGAAAATAGTGTTAATGTTGCTTTTGTTACTGGGCAGTCGTCTCCCAGGGCTGGACAGGCATGACACCCCTCCACCTGGTTGAACCCTGGCAGAGCACACTGCATGGTGCAGCAGAACCTGAAATGTCTCTTCCTGCTGTGTGGGTGACTCTAGGTGAAGAACTTACATCTGCGGGCTTCCAGTCCCTGTGACACAAGAGAAATGCTACCTTGTTGAAGGGTGACAAGGAGTTAAAGATAGACCAGCTCAGGGCACAGGGCCTGGCCTGGCCCCGCTGTCACTGTGGGTGCTATTATTCTAACTGAGCTTTGTCCCCTTCCTGACTCAGCTGCAGTCTGCCAGGGCAGGGGAGAGTGAAGGTCTGGATGTGACCAGCCCAGATGTGACCCCTTGTTAGCCAAACCTCCCCAAACTTGTTTCCCCATCTCTTCAGTGAAGCTAATCATGTTTACTTCCTGGTTATGAAGAATAAATGAGGTGAGGTGTGTGAAGCCCTCAGCATAACGCATAATGTAGAAAGGGCTGACAAAACCGTAGCTGCTACTGATTTTTTTAAATTATTATTCACATCATTATTTTTGCTGTTATTGTTATTAGCGTCAAATGTAAAAAGAAGCTGTTGTCTGGAAGCAAGAAGTATCCAATAAATCAGGAGGGTTGACCTGAATTCCAAATAAATAGTCCCTGACTTTTTTGTTGTTGTCTTTGTGACTTAGGAGTCCCCATGTATTAGAGTACAACTGCTCCATAGGGTTTTCTAGGTTGTAATCTTCAGGGAAGCAGATCGCCAGGCCTGTGTCTTCCGCGGTGTTACTGGGTGGGATTGAACTGCCAACCTTTCAGTTACCAGGCAAGCGCAAACCGTTTGCACCCCTGGGACCTTATCAGCCCCTAATTTTATGACTCCGAGTGTAATATTCCACTCCATTCTGGTCAGTCAAAGGTGAGCGTGGCCTTGCAGTCCTGACCTAACCCCCTGGTAGTTCAGAGGAGGGTTGAAAGATGATACCATGATGCTCAGTCAGGGGCAAGACGGTATGGAACCCTGTTACCGCAGGAAATCTCTGGACAGGGTGTCTCTGTGGCATCCCACGGCCACACTGGGAACACCAGGTGCCACCCTCTCTGGATCCCGGGAACAGAAGCATGTGCAGCACAGTCAGGGCAACGTGACCAAAGACGCGGACCTTTCTGCCAGACCATCGCCCAGCTGCTTGTCATTTGTGACGGTACATTGTGAACCCCTCCTTGTCCACGCCAAGCCTAACCTCCCCTCTCTCGATGCAGGTCGGACTACGACGACTGGAGACCGTCTCTGGCCAGCTTGCTTCAACCCATTCCATTCCCCAAAGAGTAAGTCCATGCGTGTTTCTGGAACTCTTCCAGCCTGCAAGAAACACCTCCATCACCCACTTAGGCCTTGGTGGGGGAACCAGTCCTTTCACGGGACTCATCAGGTCATGGTGGAGGGACCAGGTGAAAGCCAGAGGTGGAGCCCAGGGTCCTGACTCCCTCGGCCACGTCCTCCACTTGGGGCCCTGGGGGGCACATTGCCCCTGCAAAGTGGGGACATGGTGGGATTCAGTAAGATAAGGACACATGCATACCCCTCCCACAGTGCCTTGCGCATAGTCCAGTTAGCAGCCTTTATGAGGAGTCAAATGGAAATGGTGGTGCCCACCTTTCCCCTCGCAGAGGGCGATGGAGAAAACCAGGAGGTGATGTGTGTGGCTCTGCACTGTGTCCACATGTGATGTGCTGCAAGTGCTCTGATTGTGCCCATGTGTATATGAGCTATGTGCCACCATGAATGTGGCCAGAAGTGGCCCCCACCATCCTCTTGCCAGCCTTACCCTGGTACTGAATCTGTCACAGGAAGGCAGGGGGACACTGTCTGGCAGATAACGCCAGAAGCAGACTTTCTCTAAGTAACCAGGCCCAAATGTGCCTCTAGGCTCTGTTTTGATAAATAGAGAAGCCAGGCCTCCAGAGGCCACATGGGCTCTCTTAGGAGTCTATTAACAAGCCCATGTTTGTGAAATGTGGCTCTCAGAGGGGGACATTACACTCAGTAATTGCCCCATTTGCTGGCCTGCTGGTCTCAGGGGCCCCCGGGACCCAAGACCAGAGAAATTCAACTCCTGAGACCACTGCCGTCTCCAAGGAGCAATGGCGTCATTGGCCGCAGTGCTGTCCCGCAGGTTGGGGGCGCTGGAGAGCGGCCCATGATGCAATTCTTGTGGAGGAGCGGTCCCTGGGGGCCTCCTTATGTGCCCGGTGATTATCAGGGCTACATCTTAGTTGTGGAACAATTAATTCACACCCCTGGGTCCCTGGTGCCCGCATGCAGCCCACACACCCCGGGTTAGTGCTGCTCCTGTACAACTGTGTACACCTGTTTACAGTTGTGTGCCCTGGCAGTGGCTGGGGGCGTCTTAAGCCTGTTACTATGACCCAGCACCTCCTCAAAGGGGTCTTTGTTTTCCAGTTTCGAGTAGGGATAAAATGTCGGAATTTCATTCTCGCTCCTTCCTCATCCTTGGAATCAAACGTAAAGACTAAACGTCCCCAGAGAAAAATCTCTGGAACATGGCGTTGTTTGGAGAGGCCCTGCTAACTACAGTCTCCCTTTGTTTTGGTTACAGAGCTCTCGCACACGAGAAGTTCACCCAGTGAGTGTTTGGGCGATGCCCGCATTACCTTCTTTTGGCACACACATCCTATGTCCTGGGGTCAACCCTCAGTGGCCAGCCCTGTCCAGTTCCTCCTCTGTCCACATGCATCCTGGGAGCCCGCTACACGAGTCCAAGCCCCTCCAGGCATTTCCTGGGACAGCCTGATGTGCCCTGGCCTGTCAGCACCGCCTGCTCCCCTGCCCTGGTCCTTCTCTGGGCTGCCCCCTTCTCCCCACCCTTCCCACCCCAGCCAGGACCCTGGGGTGATCCCGCTCCTGCCTTGTGTCTTTCAGGGAACTGAAGTACGTGATCCAGAGGTTCGCGGAAGACCCACGGCAAGAGGTGAGCCTTTCTCCTCCCAGCACAGGCATGCTGCCGGGCACAGGCACAGCCTCTCTGTGGCTCTGTTCGGGGCCAGGAGGCCCTTGTCACCAACTGGTACTCAGAACTGTTTGCAGAGACTCCCGGTCTCATGCATAAACAGAGACGTGCCCTGAGTGTCTGGGCCTGCCCATGACGTCACCGAGTTCCTGTAAACTCGGCTGACCAGAATTGGTTTTCCACTGGCTGGCAGTCTCTCCACTGATCCGAGACCTTGACTCCGGGGTGGCCTGGCCCGGGGCTCCCAACCAGCTTCATGACAGACTTTGAACCTCCCTAGTTCCGCAGGTCTGTGGGTCAGTGGGCAGAGAGGGTAATCTGTTCCTGGGACCAGGCTTGGTTTTTACTTCCTGGGCATGGAGGCCAAAGCCCTCCCCAAGGGGGCTCTCTGTTCCTCCAAAAAGCTGGGCTCCCAGGGCAAGGGCCAGCTTCCACCCCAGAGCTGGTGTGAATAAGTGAGGACTTAGAGAGGTCTAGGAAGTCAACCCAGAACCTTTCTCCTTCCATCCCATTAAGGAGCCCTGGTGGCACAACGGTTAAGCGCTCGGCTGCTAACCACAAGGTTGGTGGTTCAAACCCACCAGCCACTCCACAGGAAAAAGACTTGGCAATCTGCTCCCATAAAGATTACAGCCTAGAAAACGCTATCAGGCAGTTCCACTCTGGGTTTGCTATGAGTTGAAAAGCTATTCGACAGCAACCAAGAACAACAGTGTAACAATAGCAGCAACAGCAAGTATCACTTATTAAGTGTTTACCGTGTGCCATGCACATAGCTTTTCTCATCTAATCCTTACAAAAACCCCAGGAGGTAAGTTCTATTTATCCCCATTTTACGAACTAGGAAGTCTGCCTCCAGACCTGTGCTGGTAGCCAGTTCTCTGGTATCTGCACTGGACCAGGCCAGAGCTGCAAAGATGACCAGCCCCTGGCTTTGTCCTTGGGGAGCTCAGGGCCCACCTCTCCATGTACGTGCATTTGGGGATGTATGATGATGTCACCCCCAGGTGGGAACAGACCCAGACACCTTTACACCACACAGAGCGGGGAGGATGAGGGTGGACAGAGGGGACAGCCAGGTATTCTGGGTGGAGCCATCCAGGGAGACTTCCTGGAGGAGATGCTGCTGAACTCGTTGGACTTGGCTACGTGGACTGTGAAACTTGACCTGGGCCTGGAGAAGCCAGTATTGTGTAGGAGGGTGGGTGAGGGTGGAAAAGGAATTTGGGAGCAGACAGACACCGAGGCCCCACCGTGTGTCCAACTATCACAGGTCTCCATGACCTGGAGCCCAGTTTTTCAGACTCCAAGATCCAGACATTCTAGAGCAGTGGTTATCAAATGTAACTACCCAAGGGATTTGTTCCAAAAGCCAATTCTCTTAGAGATTCCAATTCAGTGGGTCTTGGTGGATCTAGGAATCTGCATTTTGAACAAGCTTCCCAAGTGGTTCTGATGTGGTGTCTTCAGTACACACTGAAAAACCTAGTTCTAGAAGGATGTTCCTCTAAAACACTGTGATTCTAAACCCTGGCTCCAAAATCTTAAGGCGATGGGAAAAAGCAGAAACGTCAGGGGCCAGTGACGATTTTGCATTTTCTTAGATACCCCTTGCTGTGTGTAAAGACACAGAATTCCCCAGGAAAAGAGCACCTTTATTTCAGAAACAGACTTTGAAGCTGGAAAATCAAAGTGGTACCAGCTGCTTCCCAGAGTGGAGAGCCAGCTGGCAGAAGAGAAATTTCCAAGGGCAGTAACGTCCGTGATGCCCAGGGGAGCTGCACGTTAGGAAAGGAGGCGCCTTTGGGCTGCAGCACCCAATGTCACAGGCCCACCCCCTGCCACCCCTGCTGCCCTAGCTGAGCCTTTCCTTGTTCCCCTTCCTTTCACTCTCTCACCTGTTTGCTTCTTTTATTTTCTCTACTTTTTCTTTCCTTTCCCTCCTCACTCTCCCTTTCTCTCTTCCCTCCTACTTTCTCACTCGTAAATGAAGCCATGTTGTTGTTGTTAGCTGTCATGGAGTTGGCCCCAACTCATGGCAACCCCTTGTACAATGAAACGAAACACTGCCTGGTCCTGTGCCATCCCCGTGATCACTTGCGAATCAGACTGTTGTGATCCATAGAGCTTTAATGGACTGTTTTTCAGAAGTAGATCGCCAGGTCTTTCTTCCTAATCCATCTTAGTCTGGAAGCCCTGCTGAGACCTGTTCAGCATCATAGCATCATGCATGCCTCCACTGACAGACCAGTGCACGTGAAGTGCATTGGCCAGGAATTGAACCCAGATGTCTTGCATGGAAGGCGAGAGTTCTAGCACTGAACCACCACTGCCCCCAGTGAAGCCACAGTTGTCTTTTAAATTTTTGCTGTATTTATTGAATAGTCTTTCCTCCCTTGATTTCTTATTTCTTTGAAGTAGATAGGTTAACACTGCTGTTCCTCCAACTCTGAAGAGAACATCGAAGCCCACCTATCCTTGTGTTCTGTTTACCTGGGTGGGATTGTGATCAGCTGAGTGTCTGAGTCAGCGGCTCCTGCAGAAAACCGTCCTTCACTCCCGAAGGAGATCAGGCGCCTCTCAGCTCTCTTCTGAGGATGGGGAGGAGAATGGAAGACAAAGGCCTTTGTTTCTCTCTCTCTCTCTCTCTCTGCAATTACAGCAGGGGCTGGGGTGGATGTGGAATTCCTCCCAAACTCGCTTACGCGCACGCGCGCGCACACACGTGTGTGCGCACACACACGCACACACGCACACACACACACACCACGTGCACACCCACACCCGCACAGATACAGAGCTCTGAGAAAGTATAGGAGAAAAAGGTGCTGAGTCTGAGCTGTTGCTTTGAGCCTCTCTGCCCTGATCCAGCCACTGACTGGCTTCATGTGGAGCCACTATCCAAGCCAGGGCCTGGCCTACCATCCCGGAGGAGTGGCTGGAGTCCCCCTGTTTATGGACACCACACTTTTCCCCCAAAGTATCTTCCATGGAATTTACTGGGGTTTTCTCCCAAAAATTTAAAAAAAAAAAAAAAACTGGGGAGGGGGATCAAAGAAGTCTGAGGATAAGTGGGCTAAATGGTTACACTGGTTTCTTAACTGCAGGACTTATCAGAGCCTTTAACATGTACATGTGTGGATTCTGTGTCACTTTTGCCACCGGGTCTGAATGGAACTCAGCATCGTGTCTCTCTCTGTCCTGCAGGTCCACTCATGCCTGCTGAGCGTGCGGGCCGGCAAAGACGGCTGGTTCCAGCTCTACAGCCCTGGGGGGGTAGCCTGTGATGATGATGGGGAGCTGTTTGCCAGCATGGTAGGTGGCGCAGGGCCTTGAGTCCAGGGAGCTGCTGATGGGTGCTGGGTTTGCTTCTCTTGACTCATGAAATAGCTGCCTCATGCAGACTGTGGCCCAGCCTGGGGAATTTCCAGGCTAAAGCAATGCTGCTGCTGAAGATGAAGATGATGATGATGATGACAGTGGCCACAACTGTCCCTCGTTCATGTCATATCCAAGCAGGCACTGAGCTATGGGCTTGACATGCGTCATCTCATGCAGCCTCCCGACAGCTCTGGGAGATGCTATTTACTATTATGCCCGTTTTACAGATGAGGTAGCTGAATACCAGAGATGTTAACTGCCCGAGATCATACAGTTTAATTGTGGGGTAAGGTTACCTACGAGATACTGAGTGCTTAGCGTGCACCAGGGATCCACAGGGCCCTGTGAGTCCACGAGCTCATTTGATCTTTATAGTGAGGCATCAAAATCAGGACCATCACCCCCTAACGTGTGAGGGACCAGCGGCCACAGAACCAGGATCTACATTCACACTTTTTTTGGGTGGGCACTATGTTGAAAACGTGCTGTCTCTATAATCTTTGTGACAACCCTGCCCGTTAAGGACTCCTGCATTGAAACAGAGGCCCAGTAACTCTCCTGGGGTCACACACCCCAGTCTAGAGCCCCCCAGCTCCTGGCAGCAGAGTGCTGTTTCCTGAAAGAAGGAACAGGCTCTTCTCCCCCAGGGCAGATGCTCCACTCAAGTGGCGGGTGACCTCAGCTGTCCCGCTTGCTGACACCCAGCCCTGCTCTCCAGTCGCTTGTTTTCCCAGGCTAACATATCGCAGGGGGAGCATGAGCTGTGGTGTTGGCCAAACCTGGGTTCAAAGCCAGCCCAGCAACGCTCTACCTCCATGACCTTGGGCTAGTAACTCAGCAGCCTGTGCTCCAGGTTTTCTCGTCCAGGCCTCTGGGGTTGCCATAGTGATGGTACGGCAGTGGGTGCTGGAGGCAGCGCCAGCCACGTGGGAAATGACGGCAGATGACTCTGGTCTCTGCCAACAGCCAGTTCAGGGTTGCAGGGCACACAGCTCCCCCTCCGCAGTGAGCCTGACGGGGACTGTGGTGCAGTGACGACAAATAGGGGTGCTGCTCGGGAGCCTGTCTTAAAAGGGGTTTATTTTTAGGTCCTTTTCCTTACACACGCCTTCTCCACTTCTCACCTGCTGTCTGATGCATCCTTTTGAGTACCCTTGTCCTGGAAGCGTGCCTGTCCCCTGCCTGGCTGCTCTGCTCTCTCTCTCTCTCTCTCTGTCTCACTCTCTCTCTCTCTCTCTCTCTCTCTTTCTCCTTGACGTCACAGCCTTCACCATGGCAACGCCTGGTGGTCCCCCTTCACCCTCAATGAGAGCGATCTCAGGGAGCTGGCAGCCACCTCACCTGGGGGATCTCATTTGTATGCCAGAGTTGTTAATGGTGGAGCAGAAAAAAATGCATATGGGGAGGGAGGTAGGCAGCCACTTGGATGGAAATGGGTTGTTTCCATGGAAACGTATGGCGCCAAAGAGGTCCCCTTGACTAGGCTGCTGTTTCCAACCACAGAGGGGCACATGCTGTTGCATGAAGTGGGGGGAGAGCGAATGAGGAGCAGGGGCCTCCCCCAACCCTGTGGGCTGGGGACCCTGCCCTTGGGTCCCCATCTCCAGATGTGCCAGGAAGAAAGCCAGTCTTAATGGCTGCCCAACAGCTAACCCAAGATGGAGTAGCGTTCATCAGTGTTCAGATTTTTGGGGGCAGCTGATCTCCCAAAATGCCTTTCAGAGCTCATTGAGGGCTTGGGAGGAAGCGGGGCCCCTTGGCACGCTCTTCTCTCGCCCACTGTGAGTGAAGGCTGCCCAGTTCCAACGCAGCTGAAAACCCAAAGACCCAGATGGCAGCAGAGCCCCGAGGGATGCTGCTTCCCCAGAAGAGGCCCCATGGTGGTTTTAGGTCTGGCTGCTCAGGGTGTAATGGGTTGTTAAACGTCTTCTTGGTGTCCCCCTCTGCCTGGCACACTTGAGGCAGCCCCACGGCCACATCCCCAGGCAGTCTCTGCCCCTTCCTTCACCTGGGCTTTCCCACCCACAGGTGCACATCCTCATGGGCTCCTGTTACAAGACCAAAAAGTTCCTGCTCTCCCTGGCGGAAAACAAGCTGGGACCCTGCATGCTCCTGGCACTGAGAGGGAACCAGACCATGGTGGAGGTAAAGTGCTGCCACATCCCTGCTGTGTCCCCACCGCCGCTGTTCAGCAGACTTCGCTCTGTTCGCCAAGTGCCTCCAGGAGCCAGGAGTGACAGCAGGAGCTGGGCACAGCAGATACGAGGCGGGTGCGGGCATGGCCCTCCTGAGCGTAGTGGGCCTTCATCAACACGTGTCCGTTTCACCTGTGATACGTGTGAGGAAGAGGGACGAGGCAGGGCTTCTGTGTGCATATTAATAGTCCCGTTTTGCAGATGGGAAGCTGGGATAGGGGGCCTGCCCAGGATCGCACAGCCAGAAACGTAAAGAGGGGAGAATGAGGTCGCTAATTTTCAAAATAAGATGGTTGGGGTACACAGGGTGTGCTTAGCTATAGAATCCCTTTCCGGGGCTTGTGGGGGCCGTTAGGGTGGGCCGAGAGCTTCACCATCCACACCTTCAGAGAGCATGCCGTCCTGTAGGCACAGGTAGGACCCTAACAAGTCTCTGGTCTTCGGGCAGATCCTGTGCCTGATGCTGGAATACAACATCATCGATAACAATGACACCCAACTGCAGATCATCTCAACCCTGGAGAGCACGGACGTAGGCAAGCGCATGTATGAGCAGCTGTGTGACCGGCAGCGGGAGCTGAAGGAGCTGGTGAGTGTCCGAGTGGCCTTGGCCAGCATCCGCGACCTCCCGGGCTTCCGTGCATCCAGAGGTGGGGTAGACAGAGCCCAGGAACCATTACTTCCACCTCTGTGAACCTCAGTCTTCTTGAATCCTCCTCCCAACCCAAAGAGGTCAGGATTATCACCGGCTGGTTTCCAGATGATCAGAGATAGGCGCAGAGAGGGAGAGTAACTGGTGCCGAGTCACACAGCTCGTTGGGGCCTGGGCAGGACTTGGCTATCTCACTCACAGTGCCATGTGCTGCAGTCACTGTCAGTGCCCCTCCTCCTGTGCCCCTTAGGCCCTTCCATCTCAGTGTGTGGGAGCTTGACTATCCACACACACACACACACACACACACACATGTGTGTACAGCAGGGCAGGTGTGGTGGGAATTCTTGCCCCCGGACTCCTGGAGCAGCCCTCCCCTGATGACTTATGAGAGTGGGTATATAAGTACCCCAGCTTCCTCACCCCTTGGGTGGGGAGTCTCTGAGATATGGCTTCTCTACCATTCCTCAGAGTCGCCCAGTGGTGTTTGGCTCCTGTGCTCCCAGTGAGGGCTAGCTTGACAAGGCCCCTCCATGGCTCCTCCCCTTCCCCATCTCACCTCCCTACTCCCCTACGTGTGCTTCTGGGGGTTACCTCTCTAGTAAACCACCTGCCCTCAAACCTCATCTCAGGGTTTGCCGAACATGTCACCTCTACTACCAAGACAACAAAGATGGTGCTTTGAGTGGCATGAATAGACAAGCAGGGTAGAAACTCAGGGGAAAGAACTGGTCATAATCAGTGCGATTTCTGTTGCAGCAAAGGAAAGGTGGACCCACCAGGCTAACACTGCCCTCCAAGTCCACAGTGAGTTGGTTTGGTTTTCTCTGGGGGCTGGGTGGAGGGAAGAAGATGGGTGTGGGTCCTTCCTGCTGGGAATGCAGAGCATCATCTGTGGCTGCAGTGGTGGGAGGGTGACGTGACCTCGTGGTACTTTACAGGCAAGCTCCTACAGGAGGGAACCGCATTTCAGGAAACTAAAGAAAAATGAAAACCAAAGATAGTGTTGATACTAGTATGTCACCAGCTATTGTTAATACAGGCAGTCCCCGGTTTACAAACGAGTTCAGTTCCTAAGTCTGTCTTTAAGTCAAATTTGTACATAAATCGGAACAGTTAAGTATGGTTCGTATCTAACGTCAGTTAGTCAAATGTTTGTCTAAGTATATAGTGTACCTTTCAATGCATAAAAACAGTAAAGAAACACTTCCAGATACGTTAAAACATCTTTAACATAATATGGTAAGAATAATAAAGTTTTGATGTGCGTCGCAAAGTAGCATCTATTTGTTATTATGAACCGTTGTATGTACATCGAATTTTTAATATAATAGGCTTTACGCAGGTTGGTTCATAACAACAGGTTCTACATAAGTTGGAGGTTTGTAACCCGGGGACTGCCTGTAATGTAGTAATAGCTAACACACATTGAGCACTTATTTAAGTGCCAGATACTGTACTAAGTATTAGTTCATTTTATCCTCACAACAACCTTATGAGGTTGGTGCATCTTACCATCCTCAGTTTACAAGGTCTTCAAGGATATTAGTTCCTTCTATCCTGCTGCCTCCCCTCCCCCAGCCCACTGAACTTGGCACGTGGCTTCCCACCTCATGATCCCAGAAGGCTTCTCAAGCTCCACCTGTCTTGTCTCCATTACAGCCAGAAGGGAGGAGGAAGGGGCAAAGAAGGACACATCCCCTCCTTTTACAGGCATTCCTAGAAATTCCACTTGACACATGTACTTATCCAGACTTGTCTTATTGTCCAGACTTGGCACATGGCCACACTCTGCTGCAACGGAGGCTGGGAAATTAGTCTTAATTCAGGGCAGCCAGGTGGCAGCTGAAAATCAAGGATTCCATTGCTAAGATGGGAAGGAGAATGGCCATTGCCCTCATGGGCCTCACAGTCTAGTGCTCCAGCCTACACGGCTCTCCATAGGCCTTAGAGTTGAGGGTGGTCTCAGGGTTTGCACATGGGAAATGGGCATGAGCTGTTGCCCGAGAGGGAGAGGTGGCTAGTGAGACACGCATGCACACATACACAGATGCCACGCACACACACACCTGTGGGAGGGACACAGCCTCAGAACACTCCAGGCTGTGACTTAGGGTTGAGTCATAGCCCTGGAAGGCTTTCTCCACCCACAGGATGTGGAGAAACCCCTCCCTTCCTGACACCCCCTTGGCCCGGCCTAGCCAAGCCATGCTGTCGCCTTGGTTCCTGGGCTTTGCTGCCCCGTCTATGGCTGTAGGGCAGGAGAACTGTCCTTTCTCGGGAAAGAGATGGACAGGAGGGCTGCCCCAGGCTGCCCCTGAGACTTGCCTGCCCGTCTGTGCGCAGGACGCTGACTTGGCCCGTTTGCTGAGCTCTGGCTCCTTCGGAAACCTGGAGAACCTCAGTTTGGCCTTCACCAATGTAACCAGTGCCTGTGCTGAGCACCTCATCAAACTGCCTTCTCTCAAGCAGCTGAACCTGTGGTCCACTCAGGTACACACGCCTGCCTGTGCCCCTCCTCCACATCTGAATTATAACCCTCCTCCCTTCCCTCCTGCACCCCTCCTCTGTGCTCACCCTGCATCCTCCTCTCTGCACCCCTCCTGCATTCTGCCCTGTACCCTCCTCCCTGCCATCCCTCACCATCCTCTTGTCTGCCCCTCACCCTTCTCCATGTCTGCCCTGCGTGGTGTCTGGCCTTTCTGCCCGGAGCCCATGGGCAGCCCCTGGGTTTCCACCCTCCCGTCCCCACCCCCCAGCTCAGCGCCCATTTCCCCAGGCCAGAGCAGGTTAGGACGTCATGAAGCCTCATGGCCCATTCCCAGCGGGGGATGCTGAGAGCCCGGGCAGGAGAATTCCCAGCGACATAGAGCCTAGAGGGACTCAGAGCAGAGCTGAGGTCTGAGCTGGGCAGTGCAGAGGCGGCCATGTGGTCTGCTTGGTGGCAGTAATGGCACCATGGCAAACTGAAGGCTGACGGGCCCAGGCTTAGCATTCAGGAGCCGATAAGCACGTGTCATGGTTGAGCTCACGTGAGGCTCGCTCCCAGCCCTCAGCCTCACCTTACACACTAGAAATGAGCACCAGGGAGGGAGTCACCCAAGCCACCTGCCTTCCGAGCCTGACTCCAGCCATCCCACTGCCTCACCAGATAGGAAGAGACCCCAAAGCTTAGGACTCAAGCAGATCAGAGCCCTCCTTGACAGCGGGAAGCTGACTGTGAGGGAGGGCCCTGGCCCAGCTCACGTCCTGCGGGCAGAGCTGGTTCTGAACTGGGTGGAGAGGACTGCGTCTTCTGCGAAAGAAACCTGCTTTGCCCCTCCCCTACACCCTTAATCTGAGGGCGGCTTGGGGAGATCCGGGCCAGTCCCCAGGGCTCAGTGGTTCTGTGCCCTCCAGTTTGGAGACGCCGGCCTGCGGCTCCTGTCGGAACACCTCACCATGCTCCAGGTGCTGAACCTGTGCGAGACCCCTGTCACCGACGCCGGCCTGCTGGCCCTCAGCTGTGAGTACTGTGGGGGTGTGGGGCCACGTTACTCACACACTCACGTGTTCATTCATTCACTCAACAGATGTTGGCTGAGCCAAGTGCCAGAATATAGGTACTCATTCACTGAACCAATGTGTACTGAGTACCTACTATGTGCCAGGCTATTAGAATATAGACTGGGAACAAAAAAGAAAAGAAAAATCCCTGCCCTCATAGTGTTTATATTTTGAGGACAAAGCAAAAATGAGTAAGGCCCAGCAACTTGCTCTCAGCACTCACAGTCTACCGATAGGTGAAGTGCCCTAGGACGTGGCACTGTGGGCCCCCAACCAGCAGCATCACCTGGGAGCTGGTTAGAAACGCAGATTCCCAGGCCCCACCCTAGGCCCATTGAATCAGAGCCTGTGTTTTAACAAAAGGCCTGGGAGATTCAAGTTCACGTTAAAGTTTGAGAAGAGCTGCCATAATAGAAGGAGGCACAACATACTCAAGGAACCTAGAAGTGCTGAGTCCTGTAGCCCAGCCCTTACCTACTAAACTGAAATTTCGAAAAGTGTGAGCCTGGGAATCTGCATTTGACCAGCTGTCCCCTTCTGAGACCCACTGGTTTATTAGAGAGGTACTGCCTTAGCTGAAAGGAGTACAGGAAGGCTTCCTAGGGAGGTGACACTCATCTGGGTGTGAAAGATAAACGCATAGGAGTGGCCAAGGGGGAGGGTGTTCTCAGTGGCAGCCATGACTCCTCTGAGGTCACTGGAAGATTCCAGACAGCTCAGGAATGGGGCAGGGGGATGTGGCTAGGCTAGCGGAGGGCAGAGACAACAAGGCTTGGAGCTGTGTCTTGCAAAGTGCTTCTTGAACCACTTTTGTCGGAGTCACGCAGGGTGGGGGGGGGAGGGAGGGTGGTGATGCAGGTTCCTGGGCCTACTTCTGCCACCCTTGGTCAGTGTCTCTGGCAGTGGTCCACAGGGGTCAGCATCTTCAACACGTTCCCCATGTCACTCCACACGAACTGGATTTTAAGACTTCCTGGCCAGCTCTGGGGCCTGCCCAAGGCAGCTACTATTGGGAGAGCTTCCAGGGGAAGGGCTTGGCCTGGCCTATCGAGGCTGGTCTGCGGTGTGGCCTCGAGTTCAAGGTATGTCAGGTCCAGGCTGCGAAGGCACATGACAGGGAGACCAGAAGGGAGGGAGGCTCAGAGGGTGGAGAGCGTGGGCACCATTCAGCCCAGCTCCTGCCTGAGCAGACTCTCTGTACCTAGGGTTCTGGCTGTGCCCATCCCCTAAACAGTGGGCCTGCAAATCTGCAGTCAGTCCCCAGCCTGGCCACCCCACATCTGCACCCCCCGGGTAGGGGCTTCCTGATCTAATGACTATGTCTGTCTGTATATCTGTCTTCCTTCAGCCATGAAGAGTCTGTGCAGTCTAAATATGAACAGTACCAAGCTCTCGGCCGACACCTATGAAGATCTGAAGGTAAGACCTTCCTCCTCCCTCCCTCCACTAGGCTGACAGGAGATACTGGTGCTTCACCCTTAGAGCTTGGTCTCCAGCAGGAGAGGCTTCTGTACCAGCAGATAAACAAATGAATAAAACAGTGGCAGATTGACAGGAGTTACAGGAAGGAAGACAGCAGGAAATTGATAGATTGAAAACTGGGAGGGCCTGTGTGACACTGGATGACCAGGGGGAGGCCACCTCAATTGAGACCCCAGAGATGAGAAGAGCAAGGGCAAAGGGCCTCAGGCAGCCAGGTTTGGCAAACGTGGCCAGAAAGTGAGGGAGAGAATAGACTGGAGCCAGATCACATAAGGCCAGGTAGGACTTGGAAGGATTTCGGGTGTCATCCAAATGCAGTAGAAGCCTTCAGAGGCTCTAAGCTGGGCAGTGAGATGCTAGTAAAAGCTCGTTCTGGCTGTTGGGTGGGAAGTGGAGGCAGTGGGGGCAGGAGTCGAAGCCAGGAGAACCTGTATGGGGCTGTTGCAGTCTTCCAGGTAAGGGCTTGGCAAAGTAAAACCAGAGGACAATCACACAATCTGAAGGGTGGGACGTGGCCTCTGTTGTTTGTAAAAGCTGGTCTAGGGGAGGTTGAAGAGGCTGGGCCTTAAGCCACCTCCTGCCACATCATCCTGAGCCTGTATCGCCGAGGGGTGGGGGTGGGGGGTGCAGGGGGTGTGGGTGGGGCTTCAGCCAGTGCTCAGGAAGGAAGGGCTGGACCAAAGGCAACAGGCAAAGGTGGTGCCGTGAGTAGCCTGGCACCCGTGTGACCTGGAAGCGCTTCGAGGGGATCCCCCGGCAGCCCTGGCAGGTATGGGGCAGCCCCTTCCAGCCTCACTTCCAGCTCAGCCAACCTCCTGCCAGCCCAGGGCCTGTCACTGGTCAGCCACACAGACACTGTCCCAGTGCCGACTAAGTGCCAGGCATGAGCCAGGGCCGAGGACCCCACCCCTGCCCAGGACGAGACTCAGAGTCCTGGCACACACAGACAAGCGCAGTAAGTTGAGGCAGGGAGAGCGCTCAGTGGGGCCGGTGAGGAGGGGACCACTGGCTCAGTTCACGGAGGTTGAAAAGGCCAGAAGTCGAGAGGGGAGTGCACTGTGGGGAGTGTACTGTGGGGAGTGGGGGGCAGGAAGGGTGAGGTCACAGCAGGCCTGACCACCCACCTGAGGAGTTTAGACCTCACCACTGGAGTGTGGCTCACAGACCGGCACTGTGGGCATCCCTGGGGGCCTGTCAGGGGTGCAAACCCCAGGTTCCTGCAGGCCCCCCAGACCTTCTGAGTCCAAACGTGCATTGTCACGTGTCCCCTGGAGACTCCTGTGAAAGCGACTGCTTTAGATGGTCCTCAGGTTCAGGGCATCACAAATCCAAACGCTGCCAAGACCTGGCAGGAAAGGGGTGTGATAGGTCACTTGGGAAGAAAAATTGCATGTTGTCGATTTTTTTCTTTTCATACATTTAAGAGAGGCATGGCGCCAACTTGAAGATGCTAGCCAGTGACACCGGCCTTGGTGTGGAGGGGAAGCTAGGGCATGGTGGGACAAAGGTAGCCCTTCTCAGTGCCAGGCGGCAAGGCCACATGGCTCTGCAGCCCAGTTTGGCCAGGTCTTCCCATTTCCTAGGAGAACCTGAAAATCTAGATTGTTCTGTGCAGCCTCCTGATTTTTTTTTTTTTTTTTTTTTTAAATTGTACTTCAGGTGAAGGCAGCCTCCTGATTTTGCAAGACTGGCTCAAAAAAAAAATTTTTTTTTAAATAATATTTTATTGAGTTTTTGATGGACGTTTACTTACACAGCAAGTTAGGTTCCCATTTGACAAATTCCACACAAATTGTTCAGTGACATTAGTTACATTTATCACAGCGTGTCAGCATTCTCTGTGTTCTGTTTGTTCCATTTCCAGTACTCTAGTTTCCCTGCCCCCTTATGTTCTCATCTTTGCTTTTGAGTCTCATACTGATGGTTTTTAAGGAGGACACCGATCTTACGGGTAATATCCTTTATTTTGCGTGCCACTCTATGTCTCTAGAAGATGATCTCGGGATAGGCTCGGTTCTAGGTTTAAAGAGTGTCTCAAGGCAATAGTCTCAGGGAGTCCTCTACTCTCTACTGTTCCCAGTTTGTCTAGCTTTTTTTTTTGTTTGTTTGTTGAATGAGAATTTGAGTTCTGCTCACATTTTTCTCCCGTTCTGTTGGGGACATCTATTGTGACCACAGTCAGAATGGTCAGTGGCACCACCTAGTTCTTCTGGTCTCAGGATAGATGAGGTCGTGGCTTGTGTAGACTTGTTTCTTCTCTGAGCTTTTGGTTACCTTCTTACGTTTTGGTCCTGGCAAGTAGAAAGCCGTAGTTGTGTCTTAGACGGCCGCTAGCAAGCTTTTAAGACCACAGATGCTACTCATTTCACTAGGATGCAGATCATGACTTCTGTGAACTATGTTATGCCAGTTGACTGAGTTGTCCCATGAGACTATTGTCCTAAACTTTCAAACCCAGGAAACCAATCTTGGAAGTTGTTTGGTTATGTCTGTGGATTATCCATATTTGTGACTTCAATGAATGTATGTGCCTGCACTCACATATTTGTATTTACACGTATGTATAGATACTTTTGCCTGCTCTGCTCTCAAACTATGTACACATCCGTACCTACCCATATACCAGTATGCCTATACCCATCCATATGTGTTCAGATTAATTTTTACTTTGGTTGTGCTGTGCTCACTACATCCGTATTTAGGTGCCACTTTTCCCATCACCTAAAATAAAATAACAAGTCTTTACTGTCTAAAGAGTACTTTCCCCTCCCCCTTCCTCTCCCTGGTAACCACTAATGAACACTGGTCTCTCTATGTATCTGTTCTTGTCTTCTTATAAAAGAGGAATCATACAGTATTTGTCCTTATATGCTTGACTTCTTTTGCTTAGCATTATGCCTTTCAGGTCCATCCATGTTACAATACGTTTTTCGGACTCATCGTTCTTTATGGTTGTGTAGTATTCCATTGTATACATGTGCCACAATTTGCTTACCTATTCATCTGCTGATATTTCCATGTTTCCATTTATTTGATATTGTGAATAAAGCAGCAGTGAACTTAGGTGTGCATACGTCTATTCGCGTCATTATTTTTTGATCTCTAAGGTATATACCTAGGAGTAGGATTGCAGGATCATAGAGTAGTTCTATTTCTAGTTTTTTGAGAAAGCGCCATACTGTTTTCAATAGTGACTGTACCATTTTATAGTCCCAGTAGCAATGGATAAGGGTTCCAGTCTTCCCACATCCTCACCAACATTTGTTGCTGTTTTTTTTGTTTTGTTTCGTTTTGTTTTTTTAAATCAGTACCATTTAAGCCAGGGTGAGATGGTATCTCATTGTAGTTTTGATTTGCATCTCTCTAATGGCTAATGATCATGAATATCTTTTCATATGTTTGTAGGCTGCTTCGATATCCTCTTTGGTGTAGGTTCTGTTCATGTCCTTTGCCCATTTTGTGATTGGGTTGTTTGGCTTTTTGTTGTTGAGTTGATGCAGTTTTCTATAGATTTGAGAGATTAGACCCTTATCAGATAAGTAGTTTCTAAAGATTTTTTTTCCCAGTCTGTAGGTTGTCTACTTACTCTTTTAATAAAGTCTTAAAATGAGCATAGGTTTTTAATTTTTATGAGGTCTCATTTACCTATTTTGTTGCGTTCTATTAATGCTCTTGTTTTAACGTTTATCCAATTTTTACAAAAGTTTTCTCCCAGAAATTTTATGGTTTTAGGTTTAACATTTAGGTCTTTGATCCATTTTGAGTTAGTTTTTGTGTATGGTGTTAGGTATGGGTCCTGTTTCATTTTTCTGCAGATGGATATCCAGTTTTGGCCAGCACCGTTTATTGAAGAGACTGTTTCTGCCCCACTGAATGGACTTTGACCCCTCGTCGAAAATCACTTGTCCATAGATCCAAAAACCTATTGCCGTCGAGTCAATTCCGACTCATAGAGATCCTACAGGACAGAGTAGAACTGCCCCATAGGGTTTCCAAGGAGCGCCTGGTAGATTCAAACTGCCGACCTTTTGGTTAGCAGCTGTAGCTCTTAACCACTACACCACCAGGGTTTCCTGTCCATAGATGGCTGAGTTTAATTCTAAGTTCTCAGTTCTATTCTGCTGGTCTGTGTGTCTGTCGTTGACCCAATACTGGGCTGTTTTGATTACAGTAGTTGTATAGTATGTTTTGATATCAGGGAGCATGAGGCCTCCTGCTTTGTTCTTTTTCTTCAATATTGCTTTGGCTGTTTGAGGTTTCTTTCCCTTCCATAGGAAGTTGGTCATTAGTTTTTCCATTTCAGTAAAGAATGTTGTTGGGATTTGTGTGGGGATTGCATCGTATCTGTAGATTTCTTTAGGTAGAGTTGATATTTTTGCTGTATTAAATCTTCTATCCTCTTCCAATCCATAAGCACAGGATGTCTTTCCATTTTTTTTTTTTAATTGTACTTTAGGTGAAAGTTTACAGAACAAATAGTTTCTCATTAAACAGTCAGTATACATTGTTTTATGACATTGGTTAGTCTTTCCATTTTTGTAGGTCTCTTTTAGTCTCTTGTAGCAGTGTTTTGTAATTCTCATTGTGTAAATCTTTTATGTCCCTGGTTAGGATAATTCCCAGGTATTTTACGAATTTGTGGGCTTATTGTAAATGGTATTGTTTTCTTGATTTCTTTTTTGGAGTAGTCTGGTAGTGTAGAGGAACCCAACTGATATTTGTGTGTTGATCTTGTACCCTGCAGTGTTGCTAAATTCTTCTATCGGTTCTAGAAGTTTTCTTGTAGAATTTTTAGGGTCTTCTAGGTCTAGGATCATGTCATCTGCAGATAGAGTTAGTTTTACTTCTTCCTTTCTAACTTGGATACCTTTTATTTCTCTTTCTTGTCTTATTGCTTTGGCTAGGACTTCCAGTACAGTGTTGAATAAGAGTGGTGATAATAGGCATTCTTGTCTCATTCCCATTCTCAAAGAGAAGGCTGTCAGCCTTTCTCTGTTGAGTATAATGTTGGCTGTTGGTTTTGCATGTATGCCCTTAATTATGTTGAGAAATTTCCCTTCTATTCCTATTGTGCTGAGAGTTTTTATCAGGAATGGGTGTTTAATTTTATTGAATGCCTTTTCTGTATCAATTGATATGATCATATGGTTCTTTTCCTTTGTTTTATTTATGTGGTGGATTACATTGATTGATTTTCTGATGTTGAACCACCCTTGTAATCTTTATGTGAGTCCCACTTGATTATGGTGTATAGTTTTTTTGATACGTTGCTGAAGTCTGTTGGCTAGAATTTTGCTGAAAATTTTTACGTCTATATTCGTTAGGGTTATTGGTCTGTAATTTTATTTTTTGTGGTGTCTTTGCCTGGCTTAGGTGTCAGGGTTATGCTGGCTTCATAGAAAGAGTTTGGTAGTGTTCTTCCTCTTCTCTGTTTTTGAAGAGATTGAGTAGAATTGGTGCCAACTCTTCTCTGAATGTTTGGTAGAATTCTCCAGTGTAACCATCTGGTCCTGGGCTTTTTTTTTTTTTTTTTTATTGTACTTTAGATGAAGGTTTACAGAGCAAATAAATTTCTCATTAAACAATATACATATTGTTTTGTGACATTGGTTGCCAACCTCTCACAACATGTCAACACTCTCCCCTTCTCGACCTTGGGTTCGCCATTACCAGCTGGGCTTTTTCTGTTGTTGTTGGCAGTTTTTTTGAGGACATCTCAATCTTTTCTTTTGTAGTGGGTCTGTTTAAATTTTCTACCTCTGTTTCTGTTAGTTTGGGCAGGTAGTGTGTTTCTAGGAATTTGTTCATTTTAGATAACCTAGATAGGTTTTGAGATTTGTTGGAGTATAATTTTTCCTGGTAATCAGTTATGATCTTCTTTATCTCTTTTAGATGGGTTGTAATGTCACCAATTTCATCTTTTAATTTGGTTATTTGCCTCTCCTGGTTTTTTTCTTCTGTCAGTCTAGCCAGTGATTTGTCTCTTTTATTGATCCTTTCAAAGAAACAACTTCTAGTTTGGTTGATTCTTTCTATTGTTTTTCTATTTTCTATTTCATTTATTTCTGCCCTGATCTTTGTTGTTTCCTTTTTTCAGGTACCTATTGGCTTCTTTCATTCTTGCTGTTTGTTCAAGTTACTGGCTTAAGTTAATGATTTTGGATGTTTCTTCTTTTTTAATGTAGGCATTTATTGCTATGAATTTCCCTCTGAGTATTGCTTTTGCTCTGTCCCAAAGGTTTTGACATGTTGTGTTTTCATTTTTTATTTGATGCTAGGCATTTTTAAATTTCACTTTTGATTTCTTCTATGACCCAATAGTATTTTAGTAGTGTATTATTTAGTTTCCATATTTTGTTTTTCCTTATTTTTTTGTTGTTGATTTCTAGCTTCATGCCATTATGATCAGAGAACATGCTTTGTATGATTTCAGTCTTTTTAAATTTGTTGAGACTTGTTTTGTGTCCTGGCGTATAGTCTGTTCTGGAAAATGACTCATGTGCACTGGAGAAGAATGGTATTGTTCTGATGCTGGGTGGAGTGTTCTGTTATGTCCTACAGGTCCAGTTGGCTTATGGCTGTAAGTTTTCAGTGTCCTTAGTGATCTTCTTTTTAGATGTTCTGTCTATCATTAACAGTGGTGTGTTGAAGTCTGCTACTACTACTTTGGAATTGTCTAGTTCTCCTTTCGTATTAGTCAGTATTTGTTTCATGTGTTTTGGTGCATTGCTGTTAGGTGCATATATATTTATAATTGTTGCATCTTCTTGCTGGATTGACCCTTTTATTATGTAATGCCCTTCTTTATCTCTTGTAGTGACCTTTTTATTTAAAGTCTATTTTATCTGATATCAGTAGGCCCACCCCTGCCCTTTTTTTGTTTACTGGTTGCATGGAATATTTTTCTCCATCCTTTTATTTTCAGTCTGTTTGTGTCCTTATGTCTAAGGTATGTTTCTTGTAGACAGCAAAAGGATAAATCATGTTTTTTTAATCCATTCTGCCATTCTCTGCCTTTTCCGTGGGGTATTTAGACCATTTACATTCAAGGTTATTACTGAAAATGAAGTGTCTAACTCACTCATTTTGCTAGTTGTTTTTTGAGTGTTTCGCATCTTCTTTGTTTATTCTGATTTTTCTGTTTTTGTTTGTATTTGGCTGCTTTTTGCGATGTAACTCAAATACTTTTTACAGCACTGCACTGGCCCAGCCAAACGTGACTGCAGGCCCCCACTTGCAACCTCTGCCTGGGCACTCGGGAGCCACTGAGGGTTGTAAAGCACAGGAGAGAAGCAGTGAGGAATTATGTGTGTGTGTATATGTGTGCATATGCATGTGTGTGAGCATGGGTGTGTGTGCACATATGTACATGTGTGCATGAGTTGAGTTGTGAATGCATGTGTGCATGTACACGTGTGTGCTCTGAGCGTGTACATGTATGCATGTGTGAGTGTATGAGCGTGCATTGAGTATGTATGTGTGTGTGTGCATTGTGTGTGTGCATGTGTGGGTTAAGAAGAATTTGCTGGCCAGTGTACCAGGAGGTGAGGAAGGGTGAAGGTGAGAGGCGGGAGATCATTGAGGAGGCAGGTGTCTGCTCTGTACTGTGAAGGCTTGTTAAGAAAAAGCAGGCTGTTTACAGAAGAAGCGGAGGACAGAGGAAGAGTGTCCAAGATGGTAGCAGGGATGGAAAGTTGGACACAGTTCTGAGATGTAGCAGGTGGAAACACAGTCTTGCAATGGATCCGCTGTGGGGATCCTGAGTAGGAAAACGCGAAGATGAGTCCACAGTGCCTGGCACTCACTGTGCCCTCACTCCATTCATCTGCCCATTCTCTGATGGGGTAAGAACCCTAATAGTAGTAACATTAAGAACCGTCCTGCTCAGGCACATGCGATGTATTGGAGATGGCACTCTGGGCTTTCTGTGCATCTGGTCATGCTGTGAGCCAGGGACTGGACTTGGATTCACCTTACAGATGAGGAAACTGAGGTTCCAAGAGGTGGGCCTGGCAGCTTGGGGTCACAAAGCCAGCAAGTGGCAGAGCTAGGGCTCAAACCCTGGTCTCTCCATTGCAGAGTCAGTGATCTGAGCCTGTCTTACACAGTGGGGCATGGGGTCCCGGCTGTGGCACCTGGTTTCTTGGCGGCCAGGCCCATACCCCCAGCTCAGCTTTCTCCCGAAGGCCGCCCAGGTCGCTGAGAGCCCTGGGAGCCAAAGCAGGCAGTGGCCAGGTGGGAAGGGGGTGCGGAAAGCACCAGCCAGTGGTTCCAGAAGGGGCGACCCAGCCATGACACATGTGCCTTCTGCCCCTCCCCAGGCCAAGCTGCCCAATCTGAAGGAGGTGGACGTCCGCTACACAGAGGCCTGGTGAACCTCTGGCCGCGCAAGAGTCGTCTGCAAGCGCAATGAGACAACTTGACTAATAGCTGTAGACCAGCCGTCCCTGGGGTCCCACCTCAGCGTTCCGGCTGAGAAATAGATGGGGGAGTCTATTTGGGGGCGGAGGGTGGAGGGAGGAGGGGGGGAGGGGTTTCCAGAAGTATGCCCAGCCCCCACCTAAATCTTTTAGCTTCATAATTGGAAACCTTGACCTGATCTAAAACGGACTTCGTAGCAACAAGAG